CCGGGAGACGTGATGGGCCGCCCACAGGAGCGAAGGGCGACGGCGACGGAGGCGACGGGCGGAGGTCGGGCGAAGTACGGCGAACCGACCGGAGAGACGAAGACGGTACCCCGCGAACGGGGGACAGACGCTGGAGTCTGGGGAGGGGGGAGAGGAGAAGCGTCGAAGGGACGGGGCGGGATGTCCCGGGCAGAGGAAACGGGACAGAAGGAGCAGGGGCCAGACGTGCATGAAGCACAACGGAGGGCCTTATTGTGTGGCCTGACTGCCTTGAGGCAGGGCCAGTTTGGACGATTATACGTGATAATCTCACGTCTACTAATTAGCAGGAGTAACTTAGGCGTAGTACGAATAGGTGGACTCACCGGCAACGATCACACGCTTCGTCAACACCAACCGCGATCCAACGACCAGGCTCGGACTTCATCTTCTCCCCCAAGTACTCTTCTTCCCGCAGTGATCTCTTCACCCGTTTGGGCGAAGGCTCCCCTCTGGGAGAAGGGGGGGGAGCAGCGACAGGGGCGGCGGGAGCAGGAGCGATGGCGGCGGCAGCAGCGGCGGCAGCAGCGGCGGCAGCGGCGATGGCGTTGGGGGGGGGGAGAACCCCGGAAGAGGAAGAAGAAGAGGAAGAAGAAGAAGAGGAAGAAGAAGAAGAGGAGAGGGAACGGCGTCGTTTCTGGCCCACAATTTGAGCAGGGGGAGGGGCAGGAGCGGCTGCGAGTTAGCAATGTCTTGGAGAGCTAAAGAACAGATAAACAAGGCCAAGTTCGGCGAAGGTGTGAGAGGTTGGACGAAGAACTCACGCTCAGGACTATCTACGTTGTTGTCCTCTACACTAACCGCCACCATATCATCATCCGAGTGTTCCTCTAACTCGGTTTCACCCTCCGACACGATTCTATCATCCTCATCACTATAATCACCCCCTTTTCCTTCGAAGTCTGACTGATCGTCCGACTCCGAACCACTGAGCGACTCCTGGTCGGAGGAGGACGGAGACTCACCAGGACGAAAGGCGGGCGTCCTGCGGCGAGGGCTAGCGGCAGGAGGGGAAGCAGAGCGAGAACCAGGAGGAGGAGAAGCAGAGGGAGAACCAGCGGGAGGACCGACGGGAGGAGAAGCGGAGCGAGGAGGCGGGACATCGCCAGACGGCTCCCCCAAAGAGAGGGTGCCGAGGCCGAGGGAGGAGACTTGGCGAGATCTGTCGCCGAAGGAAACTGAACATCAGCCAAGTCCGGCGAAGTAAGGTAAGTGTCGAGGAATAACTCACGAGCAGACGACACCATACCACCAAAGTTCCTCATGGCGGCGAAAGGGTTAGAGGTGGGAGTAGGAGGGGCCATGACGTTAAAAATACTTAAAGAAATAAAAGATGATTCAAGGTAACAAATCTGTTTTCTAGGTAAGAGAGATAGAAAGTTTTGAAAGCAGATGGGAAAAAGAGAGAAGCTCGGCGAACTGCTCAGTATTTAGTATAATCAAACCTAAACCCTCGTCGTCAACATGCGGCAAACTTCGCGTTTCATCAACAAAAGGCATCGCAGGGACGATCAAAATTCCCACGCTATAGTGTCTCATCTCAATATAAGCGAGGGTTACTTCGACAAACAACGGTGTTGTTCGGCTGCCATTCAGGAAGCGTGTCTCACCTACAAAAGACACAGGGCTTCTTACGGCAAACCTCGACGAAGTTAGGGGAGTCTCATTGTCGGGTTTTGGAGTGAAAGGAGGCCCAACTACGAAGTGCGGCGCAAAGAGCAGAAGGGTGAAAGATGGTCATGGGGAGGGAGAGAATGGGGGTACTACGCTGCTAAGTTCTCTTGACACGACAGAGGTGTAATCGCTCACGAGGACGTTCGCGGCTAAAGAAGGGGGCGACTGTCACGAACTACGTCGTGACACCTCGATTATTCCACCAACAATGACCCTCCTTTGACCATCAAAACCCCCATCACGTCTTAACCTCTTTACTCTACACGTAACTCAGGACTTCTGAGACCAAGTACGGCGAAGTTAGACGGAGTTAGGCTAGGTAGGGACAATGGGAGCAGAAGTGCGGCGATGTTAGGCGGAGTTAGTCTAAGTAGGGACAATGGGAGCAGAAGTACGGCGAAGTTAGACGGAGTTAGGCTAAGTAGGGACAATGGGAGCAGAAGTGCGGCGATGTTAGGCGGAGTTAGTCGAAGGAGGAAGAGGATGGCCGAGGGCTCGGGGAAGTTGGACGAAGTGCGTTGAAGTACGTCAAAGCGCGAGAGGGTTGGATGAACGTCTAGGAGGAGTAGATAATATTAGCTGAGAAGATCGCTGAAGTTCTTCAGCGATCCTTGATTGTTGTCAGTAGTAAAAGACAGATAGAGATAGCTATAAATCAAGATACATTGCCATCAGTAGATCAAAACCCTAGTTAGAGTAACTACGCCGAAGTACGCCGTAGTTACACCCCTTTCGACGTCTGCGCCCTCCTGGTTGGGTGAGACATCGACTCAGAGCGTGAAGTTAGCCGAGGTTCGTCGACCGTCGGTCTATTAAGAAGTAGTTGTTCGACGGCCGTGACAATGCCCCAGCACACACTTCCAGGGATGACAGAGCAAGAAAGACAGCGTGTCAATTCGAAAAATATCAACGAGAATCCAGCCATTGCAGCGTACTGGTTTTATCGACGCTTCCAGTTATTTTTCACCCATGTCCTCAAACCCCTTTTCCGTGTGAAGGAATGGTGGTATCGATATGAGTGGCAACACCGGGGATCAAGCCATGTCCATGGTCTGATATGGATGGAGGGCGCTCCATCACCAGACACACTTGACCTTGACAATGATGACAGTGTTGGTACTTTTCTTGACTTCTGGTCCACCCGGGTGTCAGCTACCAACCCAAGTCAGGACATCCCACCTCTTCCCACACACCCTTCTGCTCTTGCACACCACGAAATAACATTCACCTTGAAAGACCTTTCACAACTCATCAACCGCGTCCAACGACACACCCGATGTAGCGCTTACTGTCTACGAAGACCAAAGGGTTCACCACCAGACACACCTTTGGTCTGTCGGTTCAAATTTCCTCACGAGCTCACAGAGAACCAACAACTTGTTCTCAACCCAAACGGCAATAAGCAGCTCATACTACAACGCAATGATCCCCTACTTAACAGCTATAATCCCGTCCTTGCACTTGGCTGGCGAGCAAACACCGACATTAGCCCCTGCACTGATTCCCGAGCCGTCGCAACATACATCTCCAAATATGCCTCCAAGTCTGAAAAACCTTCCTCAAATTTTGCCGAGGTAATGCAGGCCATCTCACTTCGTTTGGAACAGGACACCACTTCCCGGGTGGTCTTTCAGAAGATGCTTAGTAGAGTAGTGACAGAGAGGGACTACAGTGCACAAGAGGTCTGTCATATGCTTTTAGACTGTCACATGATGTCTGCTTCAAGGGAGTTTGGTTCATTGAGCTTGCTAGAGAATCGGCAACGACGCCTAAGACGGAGGTTGGATGATGAAGAGGAAGATCAAGGGGTTGAGGAACAAGACTGGCGTGACGCATACCTTGCCCGGCCTGATGAGTTTGAAGACATCAGTCTCTACGAATGGTTCCAATATTATCGGAAGTATGGTCGCAGAATTTCCCGCCGCCGACATGCCCGCATCATATCTCTATGGCCCCTGTACTATCCATCCGACCCTCAAACAGAAGAGCATCAGAATTGGTGTCGTGCAAAGCTCCTCCTCCATCACCCTCACCGCAACCCATCCGAGCTTCGAGAAGAAGAGGAAAGATGGAGTGATGCCTATGCTCGCTGTCTTGCAGCTCATCCAGAGGGCCATCAGGATACTCTTCCTTTCCGCCCTGTGCGACAAAGACAGCAGGGGTCCCAGCTAGACAGTGATTCTGAGTTCTCAGATGAAGAGTTGGAAGATGACCACGAGTTGGATGACTGGCAAGTTTTGGCTGGTATAGGACCTGATCATGATATGGAAGATGGAGGTCCTGGAAGTCTGCTGGGTGCTAGGGATGTGGACACATCACATGATTGGCACACAACAGCTAGGGAGTGGGGCATGGATGGATTGGAGGAGAGGTCTGGATTTGTGGGGGCTGAGCGCAAAAAGGTGAGCAAACTCAGCAGCATCCTCAAGTACCTCACTGACATCTTCAGTCACATCCAACTACTACAAGGTCTGCAGCGGATCCCAACATGCTGAACCCCACTCAGCGTCTCATCTTTGATAAAGTCCTCCAACACGCTCAACGTCTTCTGGATGGCATGACTGCAGAACCATTCCTTCTCAACATTGATGGTACAGCTGGCACAGGGAAGTCATTCCTGATTGATTCCATCTCTCAGGCACTTGCACAGCTCCAGTCTTGTAGTCATTCAACATTCCTGACCGGCAATCCCATTGTTCGACGTGTTGCGCCAACCGGTGTTGCTGCTTTCAATATCAACGGCTCCACATATCACACCGCCCTGGGGTTGTCAGCAACCCCAAGTGAAGAGAGTGATAAGCTGGGGGAAGGGAAGCTGGGAGTACTGCAGGAGGACTGGCGTGGAACACACTACCTCATCATTGACGAAAAAAGCATGATTGGCAGGGTTGCACTCGGACGCATCAACCTGGCTCTCAGTCAGATCTTCCCATCCTCCTCACACCTTCCATTTGGTGGTCTTTCTGTCTTGCTTATTGGAGACTTTGGTCAGCTCCCCCCTGTTGGCGACACCCCACTCTACAACACCAGTCTGTCTAGAAATACATCATACTCAGCACGTCTCAGCAATATGGGCAGGAACACTTACCTTGCCTTCACCGAGAGTATCCAGCTGGAGACGGTCATGAGGCAACAGGGTGACAATCCTTCAACTACTGCATTCAAAGCAACTCTTGCCCGACTCCATTTGGGACAACCGAGCCGAGAGGATTTCGATCTTTTGTCCTCTCGGTTTTGGACTACTCTTTCTCCACATGAGCAGGCCACTTTTACCAATTCAATACGCCTCTGCGCCACCAAGCGTAGTGTCAGTGACATCAACATTCACACCCTCCTCCATTCCGGTCAGCCTGTCCTGCGATCAGTTGCTCACCATACCGGCGTCGGGGCAGCTCAAGCCTCAGAAGACCAAGCACAAGGACTTCCACCTGTGATATATCTGATGGTCGGGGCGCAGGTGATGCTTACACGCAATATCTGGATTGAACAAGGCTTGGTCAATGGTGCTCGTGGTTGGATTTTTGAGATTGGTCTCTTGTCATCTGAGTTTCCTCAGCATTCGGTGCCCTCTGTAGTGATGGTCGCCTTCCCATCATATACTGGACCTACTCTCTGGCATACCCCCAACAATGTCCCACTGGTACCAATTGTTGCTCAAACAGCTCGCTGGGAGGGGCCCAATGGTCAACGCTGTTCACGCCGCCAATTACCTCTCCGTCTTGCCTTTGCAATCACTATTCACAAATCTCAAGGTATGACTCTTGACAAAGCTGTCATTGACCTTGGTGATTCTGATCACTCGACTGGCCTCACTTTTGTTGCAGTCTCACGTGTACGAGCATTGGATGGTCTTGCATTTCGTCCAGGGTTTGCTTGGGAAAGACTTGAGAAATTAGGACGTCATATGGAGCAAGGACGGGAGTCGGGTCGTACATTAGTAGCAAGGGATCTTGAACGTCGGCGACTTCTTCCTCTTCGTTGTTGAAAGTTGTTTATAGTCATGCATGTAGTCTCTGGATTATGTAATCATAGAGGTGTTGACTCTTGAGCCTCTTACAATCATCTCCCCTCTCATCATCTACTTTCATCATGCCCTTCCAATCTTCCCTGATAAAAAAAGCTTATAATCAACACATCAGAGAACAAAGAAAGAGATATATCAATCCACATGACAAACATTCTCATACCTGCTCCAAGCAAACACCAAAATATCCAACCCGTCATTATTATCCCCCCCCCATCCCCACTTTGCCTTCTGATCTCAAGAAGGTAAACTTTCAGATCTCCAAACCTATATTGCCATCATTGTAAGACTTCCTTGACACATCCTGAATAAGTTGCTGATATGAGTTTCCCCGGTGGTGACCCTAGAATAGAAAAGGCAAACAACAATCCTATACACTGGATGGTGAGATTGAGAGCTTGGTTGGAAAATTTGGTTACTGGTGAAGCTCCTCCCGCATCTCCTCTCTTTACTCCTCCTCCCAGCCCTAAGAGTGCAACATGGTCATGGCCTCCTACCCCCCCTGCTAATAATGCATGCTGGGATGAGTACCATTTGGAGATGGAAGAGGAATACAGTGACGTGAGCAGCTAGGAGTAGAAGCTTGAATGCATGAAAATTTACACGTGTTTAATGATCAATGAGCTACGCATCTATCGGCGGGTTCGTTTGGCGCCGATTTACCTAGTTACTAAGCATTACGGTGTACGGTGAGGAGACAGACCACAAACAACAAATAGCTGCTCGCTGCTAGATTATTGCATCTTAGTATCTGTGTATTGGTCTTACCACAACGGATGTCATTAGAGATATTCTCACCCACCCTGACATGTTCACAGTACAACGTCGATATCGTGGAAACTTCTCTCTCAGCGACAGTCTTCATGACCGGAGACGAAAAGACGTCATGCCATAATTACGACTATCACACTCATGACGTGCATGATTTCTTTCCTTCTGCCTACCACATCTTTAACCCCTCCCTGTCTATACCCTTCTCACGACACCTTGTTCGTTGCATCTCCTCCTTCGTCTCTCGCGCAGTCTCATCCCCTTTCCCAACAAATGCGTTTCGTCTCCCCCGAAGTCAAATTTGATGTGAGTGGACTTCTCTTCAGGTATCCCCTTAGCTGACTACGCCAACAGTGTTTCTGCCAGACTGAAGATGGTACCAGTTCGTCATCCCTCCATACTTCTATCCCTCTGATCCAGTAGGACTCTCCGAAACACTTGTCGGAGACGCTTGGGGCAGTCGTGCTCGAATAAACATTCCACCAGGTCAAGTAGGTATCCCCATGCTCCGTATCGATTTTATCTCACCTCTAGGCCATCATGCTCTGTCTACAGAGACATGATACTGAAGCATTCAACAACAACGACTATCGAGCACTTCTCACTGAGAAATGTCGAGAGATGGTCATTTTGAACTTCGAACGTTCATCCTCCATGATGCAGAATGGGTTCCACATCCCACTCCACTTGTCCGAGGTCAGTGTATCTTGTGAGGGGTTTCTTGGATAAATGATACTGATAAATAAGAGCGATATAGATGGTCCGATCAGAGTGGAGATATACGAGATGAACCATAAGCAGGTGAAGAGAAATAGTGAGAAACGAAGGAAGGTCGATGTTTTAATTTGCGAATTCGAATTTCATCTCGATAGGTCTACTGTGAGCAGCAGGCCTTGACCTCTATTGTCAGCTGATCCGGCAGAGACTCTCCTCGCCTCTAAACTCGCCTTTACAGGTCATCCCAAAGTGTGAGTTCAAAAGAAAAAAGAAGAAGAAGGATTGACGTTGTGGTATTATCATCGGCAAACAACCGGTTGGTCTCATCGACTTTCCCCACACTCCCTCTCACCGTCGAGCAGGGACGCGACATGGATATGAATAGACGAATTCTTTCAGAAGCGATGAAGGCGAGGATTGTCAGCTGCTCTTGGGATGATCATCATCCTATCCCGTTCGAGGTGGGTATGGAGTTGAGTGATCTAGAAGAGTTCCGCAGACATGACAAAAGGGGTCACCTTCTTCAACTAGGCCAAGCGAGTAAAAGACGTCCGACGAGTCAACCACGACGTAGAGAACAACTCGGTTTCCGTAGACCGAAAAATAAACCTCTATTCATAGCAGACTGTCCTCCCTCACCAAAGCAATTCCAGCACTTCGTTTCCCGGAACTCGTCTATATCCCAGATCGCTCACCAACCTTCGATATCCATACCTTGCTCTACCGACAAGTTTGGCCAAAGGTCCATATCTCTCGTTTTGACCAGACCTGCAGGGGCGAGAGAAGAGACCATCATTCAAATGGGATATCCAAAGGAGAGATCTCTAGTCTTGAAGCTTGATAGTAGTGAAGATGGAGGGGAAGACTCATCATTTGAGTCTCGCCATCTGAGGATACGCGTGACAAGACTTGAAGGAGTGGTTGATGATCTGGCCTTGCAGACAGAGATCATGAAAGTGAGTCATGGTTGAACGTGAACTATTGAATTATGACTGATGGGATAAGCGTCGAATGGATTGTTTGTCGCTTGAGAATAAAACACTCCATCGACTCGTCCGAGAGTTGGTACAAATACAAGAGACGTAGATATTTCTTACGGGACAACACGTTCTGAGGTGCGGTCTCTCATTTCGTCAGGAGATGTTGTTGACGCACCAGCTTCCCGCGGGACGGGGCACGGTAGATCCGTGGATTCGTAAAAGGAGGGTTCCTGTGGTTAAGATATTCGAAGCTTTGTGAGAAGCAGTGACTGTGTACTGTAGCCCATCAAATGGTAACGTGTTGTATAGTTGAATTGTGGCGTGTAGCACATAGGGTGTAGCTTGAGACCAAAGTAGCATATTTGTACAGTGAAGAGATAAGACCAAGTTAGGTTTGCATCGGGATGATGCCGTGAATAGTAATTTCCTAATCGGACAAGTCGGAGTTCGGAACGATTTTCTTTTGGGATGTTTCATCTTGCACCTCTTCACCTCTTCACAACTAGTCACACGACACTTCGCTAAATCGTCAATCTGTCAATCCTCCAAGACCTTTAGATCAATTGTTCATACTCTTTTTCCCACTTCACCCCTTTACCTTTCCTTCTAGTATGCTCAAAGCGTCGCAATAGTACCTTCCTCCACGCCCTTTTTTTCCACTCCAATCCGAACATCATATCTCGACCAGATTTCTCAAGAAATACAAACACAGCTGTGATGCGTCCTGGTCGATGCCTTCTATACAATCACCCTCTTCTCATATTCGATCAAAGACATCATCATCATCAGTCTCTAACACGACCGAGTCAAATCCAACCATATCTGATATCACATCTTCGGAGATAAGATCCAACGAAAGGGTGGTGGATGGTCCAGTAAGGGAATTCAGCAGGTTGACAGAGTTGAAAAGTGAACAAGAAGTGGATGATAAGAAATATTCGGGATCTTGGTTTGATAGATTTAAAGAAACAATGTCGGATAATCAAATGGTGGTCAATACTTTTATCGCTGGTGGTTTGGCAGGTGCAACAAGTAGAACAGTCGTTAGTCCTTTTGAACGGTTGAAGATAATTTTGTGGGTTCTCTCTTGCAGTTTCATATACCATTTATATCACACTTCTCGTCATACATAGTTCCTCACTTTCCTTTGACCCTTCAAATCCGGAGCTTTGCCTCGGCTGGATTTGTGTTTTATTTTTGGAGAAAATCATATCCTATCCGATTCACTTCCCTCTTACGCGTCATACGTACAGCTTCACCTGGACAGTATTTGTGCTTTTATGAGAAAGTTATATCCCATCTCACTTCACATTACTCTCACTCTTCTTGATCATGCAGATGGATAATAGATTTGTATCATATGTATTTGAAGGCAGGAAATGAAATTTCACTAACCCCACTAGACAGGTCCAATCATCCGGAGCGACAGGGACAGGTCAAGCTTATACCGGCGTATGGAAATCATTGGAACGTATGTGGCGAGAAGAAGGTTTCAGGGGTTTTATGAAAGGTAATGGGATAAATGTTGTCAGAGTGGGTATTGCATACTTGTCACTGTTGACATCAACTGACGATACAGATATTGCCTTACTCTGCTCTACAATTCACTGTAAGTTTTATCTTATCCCCACCACGGATATACAATCTCTCAATATCAAGAAGATCCTTCCTATGACTCCACCTGACTGGGGAGGGCTCGTCAGTCAGGTTGATAAATGCTTTCTTCCGGTCTCATTCCGATTGACAATTAAGATGTTTTGGCTGATTGTAAAGTCTTATGGCGGATTCAAAACCCTTTTACGATCTTGGTCTGGTCATGAAGATCTTTCTACTCCATCTCGATTAGCAGCAGGTGCTGGAGCCGGTATGGTAGCAGTTGGTACGTTCCCTTCCTTCCCCCTTTCCACAAATCAGATGAAGCGTCTGTCTGACATTTAGTCGCTACTTATCCTTTGGATTTGGTCAGAGCAAGATTATCCATAGCGACTGCGAATATCGCCACAACATCAAATGCACAAGCGTTTACTGTCGAAGATGCAAAATTAGGAATATGGGGTATGACGAGGAAAGTTTATAAGACAGAAGGAGGAGTGAGAGGATTATATCGAGGTTGTTGGGCTACTGCTGTTGGAGTGGCTCCTTATGGTGAGTTTTCTTTTTGTTGATGTTAGTATACAATGTTGATGATGACAGTATCATTGAATTTTTACATTTACGAGACACGTACGTTCTTTACCTTTACCCTCCTCTTCTGTCCCTAAGTTTTTTTTGCCTTCCTGATCTCATCTTCATCGTCTGTGCGCGATAATTTTCCTGTGATCGCTCTTCGTCTTTGAAGTACGACTCGGCTTCAGTCTTCTCCAAGGCATTCGCACAACCAAGGGGAGGGGGTGGGGGGGGGGAGGTGGCTTCTGTGTCTTGTGGACCGAGACATAGAGATCATGAAAATTGCAAGCAAGTTCAGTGTGACGGCGATGGCTGATCATCAAGTAAAAACTTACATCCTCCCACCTGATCCTGATCCTCATTCAACAACCGACGACGCTCTACGAAAACTCGCTTGCGGCGGTTTGGCCGGTGCCACATCTCTCATCTTCACTCATCCCTTCGATGTACTCAGACGGAAACTTCAAGTAGCGGGATTATCCAGTGTTTCACCTCAATATAATGGGGCAGTGGACGCTTTACGTCAGATTATAAAGAATGAAGGATTTTGGCGTGGGATGTAGTGAGTGATCTTCTTTTATCCATATCCCAATACAATACGATCATTCCCCTTTCCCTTTTTCCGTACTCAACCTCGATCTTTCACTTCGTACAGGCCATGTTAGTTTGTAATGTTGTATTTCCTACTTGTCATACAAATACTTTTGACAGTATTGCCGGGAGTGTTTCAATACAGAGAAGAAAGAGCTCACTTCTAGTCGCGGTCTCACACCTAATATAATCAAAGTAGCACCTAGCATAGCAGTATCTTTTTATACTTTCGAAACTGTCCGAGATCTATTAGCGTGGGTACAATCGGTAGAAGGGGATCCGGTCGTTTGAATAAGTTGGAGTAGCGACAGATGGTAGGTGGTACATAACTCCCGGGGGCGGAGGGGGGGGGGGGGCAAGAGAGAGGGCAGTGTATAGTTCTCTATCATCTACAACATTGATCATATGATCTTGATACATTGGGAATCAGCGTTCGAAGACATCATGCATTCAGTATCCATCATACAAGTAAGTACGAGTACCTCACGGGTACTCCCTTATACTCGCACTACTACTTTCCTGTCGTCTTCTGTACATACTTGATCCCGACTTGCATAGCGAGCCTATTTACATCACTCTTCCGCGTGCCTACTTGTAAATCGGACTGAAGTGGAGGTCCGTCTTCCATCCCTCCACCCCTCCACCCCTCCATAATCCACGGCCGCCAGAGCTCACATCCTCCACTCCTCTTACATATCAATCGTCATTAGTCGTCCAGCCATCAGCCGTCGGTCACCTAAACGTCGTAGTCGCCCATCTTCTCTTTCTCTCTCCCCCTTCTCCTTCTTCCAGAGTGCCGCTTGACTCATCCTCACCACTTCACTCTTCACCTATTTGGCAAAACCCTCCACTCCCTCCACTTCTATCGTTCGATATGACAGTATCATCCTTTCTATGTACTCACCTCCATCTGTCTCCACTTCGAAAAAAATATAAAGACCCCATAGATAAAGCGACATTGCTCACTTCTTAACATCCTCTCTACTTTTCATCCTCGCTCACTCGAAAACTTACCTGCTTTACATCTCTACCACTTCAACTCCTCACATCACCTTCCATCTTCGTGATTGAACAATCTCACAAATATTGAAGTAAAGTAGCTCGACATGCCCACCGTACTAATAACCGGTTTGAACGGCTTTGTAGCTACCCACACTGCTATACGTTTCCTCCAAGCTGGATGGGATGTACGTGGGACTGTTCGTTCTACTTCCAAAGGCGACAAGACTTTAGCTTTGCCGGCGTTGAAGAAGTATAGCGAAGAGAGTAGGATTGGGTATGTTGTTGTGAAAGATCTTGAGGGTGATTTTACGCAAGCTCTTGAGGGTGTTGATGGAGTGAGTGAGACCATCCCCCCCCCCCTTCCCAGATCTTCCTTGCCATTCCATGATGACTGTCTCGCAGGAGCGATCTGGGGCTGCGACGGGGAACAACGGAAAGTTTTGGGGAATCGAATACTAATTTTAGGTCGCACACTGTGCCTCGCCTTGGAACATGAACGGGAAGACTTGGGCAGAATATCGTGATCCGGCTGTCAAAGGTACAATCAACATCATCCAACAAGCTGCCAAATTCCCGAGTGAGTCCAGTTACATTTCACACCTCACACTCACAAACCTTTCTTTCTCCTGTTCCCCTTTTTCATAGATATACATCACAGAGAAGGCTGATCTGGAGAGCATGACTGACATCCAGATATCAAAGCAGTATCCGTTGTCTCCTCCTTCACCGCCATCGGAGACTGCACCGTACCTTACTACACCCTCGCGGGACGGGTCTTCACCGAAGCTGATTGGCCGCCTTTCACCGACGAATTCGCTGCTGCCTACGATGGGTGAGTATTTACAAATTTCATATTCCCTTCCTAATGCTCATGGACTGTGGTGAAGCTGACATTTCAGACCACAAGCAGCTGGTCTTTGGTACTGCGTGTCTAAACAGCTTGCAGAAGCCGCCGCCATCAAAATTCACGAAGAACTCAAGCCTGGCTTCACTCTTGCGACTCTTTGTCCTCCCAGTGAGTCTTCTACTATACCGAAGCTTTTGCGATGCGCTAACGACAAGCCATCTTTGGGCCATCGTATCATTTGGCTCCTGGGGAGAATCCCACCGAAGCGGATCTCACTACGAGCTTCTTCTACGCCGCCACCGTAGCTGGAAAGGACAAGACCGTTCCAGACACTCTGTACACCTCTTGGGTCGATGTGAGTCTCTTCACACGCCACCGCTGTAGACAAAGAGAGTACTGAGCTGATACATTTCTAGGTCCGCGATGTCGCAGAAGCACTATGTGTCACCATCTCGCAAAGCAAAGGTGGCCGATACGCCCTGTGTAGCGGGTCTTACGATCTCGATCAAGTAGCTGAACTCGTGCTCTCTCTCCGACCAGATCTTGCTCACGTCGTACCTCAACATAAGACCAAAGATACGCCTCTAAGTAAAGGAACATACACCTTAGATTCCACCAAGGCGACTCAAGAGTTGGGAATCCACTGTGAGTCAATGTTTTAGTCAGAAAGGATGACACTGATATGTAGTCATTCCGCTCGAGAAGATGGTAGAAGATAGTGTGACGCAATTCGAGAATATTGGAGCTGTCGTTTCGGCCTGAAAGGGTGACTCGAAAGCTGAGAAAGATTAGGATATTACCAGGGATGTCAAGTGACTTTTCATTGCTGCGAGTGTGCAGGCGAGCGTCATGTCTTACGGTTAACTCTTCGCCAGCACGTTCAGGGAAAGGGTGAATCACCTGGGGCCCGCGCATGCATCTCCCCACAATGTCACCAGTCGCCACCGTACCACCATACTTGCAACCCGGCTTGTGTCGGTCATAACTGATATATTGCCTTCTATGAAAGCAGCCTGCTCCCCAGACACCCACATTAGCCACAGACCGCCCATCTTCAAGTCGAGTCGAAAGTCATTGTCACTTATCACCTAAGTACCTGTCCGTGACTGGATTCGGTCAACCTGATACATTTGACCGAGCTGAGTGAGACAAGAACATTTTTGCTTCCGTTCCGTCCTTCTCGTCAGTCGCGGTCCTTCAAACTTTCCTTACATCCTATGTCTTCCTAGTACCATTATCATTGATAGAAGATCGTAAACATTCTCCTACGCCGGAATATCGTATATCTCCGTCTTCATATCTACCATCAAAGGCGAAGTGATCGACAATCACAAAGATAGATACGACACGAGGGACGCGTGTCAAATTCACGTACTCCCCTCCTTCTTTGTCAAACTCGACATCTTTTCCGACCTCATCCGACTTGTCGATTAGAGTGTGTGGTGGGAGAAGGAAACGATCGGATCGACAACGTTCAATTGATGTTCGTATAGACACGAGGACAGGACCTGCCAAAAACTTTTCCAGATAACCGGTCATACTAACTTTGACCTTTTACGACGTCTTTTGATCTTTTTTTTTTTGGCAAGTTTGATCATCAGTCCTTCCCGCCTTAAGCCGCCTTCTCCTCCCGGCATCGGCATCGATATCGATCTTCTTAGCCCATCCGGATAGAGATTCAAGTATCTAGGGACCAGGTATAAGATTTTGATCTACCCTTGAAGACACGACGATCATTCTTATCGTTCATGGTTTTATAATTCATCGTTCGAAAACTGGACGATTCACGATTTTCCACGTTTTCACACGCCTTCTTCAATTCAATATACCTTGGGACCATTCGTTACTTTTGATTTGTGATTGGTGTTTTGTGGCTCTCTTCGTCCCTCCTTGATCCTTGAGACATCTTCCCACACACCACTCACCTTCTTGGAATATCGGAAATACGTCCTTCTCCGTCAATATTTATCGGCTTTCAATATAACAACCCCTTCGGACGGGGAAGAGTTCATCCCTCTATCTACCTATCAAGGGTTCCTTGACCACCCCAATTTCGCGCATCACTCTCTCCCCCAGCTGTCCATCGAATCTCATCGACCTATGCTGTTTCACTATACGCCCTACATACCGATCGTTACCTCGTATCGTTGACTTTATCGAAACATCGGATCCATCTCTTCTAAATAAGACCTCAGTTTTATTCCCATGGACGATTCATCAGTTTCATCTCCACTATCCACACATTCCATCATGACCTCCTCCCCTGAGGTTGGGGGTTTGAATCGAAGTGGCATTCACTCTGGACCTTCTCGGAATCATGGATTAGGAGGCCAGGATGTCATTCAGAGTGTTCAGAATCTCTTGGGTAGTTTTGCTAGGTAAGCAATGGTTCTCTTTATGTTTTTGGTAGAACTATTCGATTGACGAGATATAGTGGTGGTAATTTTCAATCCTTTCCATCCAACTTCCAAAACCCAACTCGACCTTCACCACCAGCTCAAATGCCAGATGTGAAACCGTTTGCGAATATTCCCCCACCTTCACCACATATCACTCGACCGGCTCTCATCGTGGCATCCTCTGCCAGTCCATCCATCGGAACCGGAGGATTATCGGCTTTACGGTTAGAGCCACCAAAGCGACTTTATGATATTGAGAGATTACCTATTGGGATACCTGCACGGGATGAACTGTTGAGAACATCACTGTATGTCTGATTGTCTCTTCTTGTGTCATATCAGATGCTGATGCGATCAGAAGGAATTTGGTGTTGTTGCAAGGTGATCCTCAAATCATCACTAAACAAAGAGTTGAAACTGCCATACGTGTCATCGTCGATTTACTTCGTGTCATACCTCGTTCTCCCAACACACCATCTCTTCCACCAGACTTGGTCTGTCTTTTGCCCCCAGATTCAGGCGGCGGCTTGGTTTGCGCCATTGAACGAATCGGTACATTCACAGCGATACGGATGCAAACGGGCACAACGACGAAATTGAGCTCCAAAAAACAACTTCAAGCAGGTCCGACATCAATAGAGCAAGTGATATATCTCGAAACTGCTGTATATACCAGTGGAGACAATCCAAGAAGGGTTTACCCCTGTAAACGTTGTCGAGCACGAGAAGCACGAAGGAGAGAGACTAAAGAGGCTACCAGACGAAAACGAGGTCATGCGGATTCAGAAGCCTTTTCCAACAAATCTTCCCAACCTAGAACAAGCGCTCCTCCCCCTTCCACCGATTTTGTCACCGGAGAGAATCCTGACGACTACGACCCTCACAAACATGATCAAATAGTGGAGGAACCACCTTGGGATCCGACGAAACCGGATTGGAGACATGAGATGGTTCTTTTCAACACACCTCCGGAATTACCTATCAAAGATGGTAGTGTGTCATGGTTGCCTTTGAGGGTGGTTTGCTATGGTAAATGTCATGGTGACAAGAGTGGTTTCAGGTGAGATTCATCATTCCCTACACATGATCTATCAAGGATTCCCGCTCCCTGTGCACCGCCTACACTCGAGGAATGGATCACGTGCTAGCTGCCGAGACATAGTTTCAGCCGTTGATTGTCTGCATTTAGAGAGCATGACTGACATCACTAGTGTCCACTTCACTTTCCGTCTCCCAGATGGAAGTATCATCGCAAGGGAGGCCATGAACCCCATACGTATCACCGATGACCATAAAACTGATGTCAAACCCAAAGGCAAAGAAAACATGGGAACATCCGTTACTCGAGGTCACCGAGGACGTACGAGTATCGCCTCTTCTTCCCGTCGACAATCATCCGTTGCGGCTTCCGAAGCTGAAAGCTTACAATCCGAAGCTGGTCCTCATATTCGACAACCTCCACCAGTCCGGACGGGAAGACCATATGAACGACCTAAAAAAGAACCATCGTCAAATACTCATCTACCCCTCACTGCTGACATGGCAGCGTATCGTCAACATAGATCTGGGTCGTCCATTTCCAGCGTTCCATCCATGTCTCCAATGTCAGCTCCCAGCGATGGACAAGAATCATGGCCTCACCCGTCGATGGATTGGCAAGGTCGTGTTTCCGACACACATATACCGAGCACCATCAGCCCGGGTGCATTACGTCGACCGACTTTCGAAAATCATCTGATGATGAACGAACCTTCGCCTATCAGTCCGAACAGTATTCCAAGTCATTCTTCCAACCTCAGTCCTCTTTCTCATCATGACGAGCTCTCCATGATCCGTGACCACTTACAATCTCCGACATCTCTTGTCTCGGCATTGGCATATGCTCAACTTAACGAAGTTCAAGCATCCCCACATCACCCGACGACACCATTGATGATGGGAGATCAAGGTGGTAATATACTCGGCCTTAATGCGTATAATGACGCTTTGGGCAGTTCATCAAGAAATAATTCCATGACTAGTTTTGCAGATGATGCTTCTTCTTTCTCACAGCCGTTGTTTGAAGGATCAGTTTATAGTCAAAGTGGTTTACCACCAAACGATGATTCCATGTTCAGTCAAACTTCCGACTCCCAAAGTCATAATATGGAACAGTTCCTCGATTATTCCGGCGGTGACGATCAACAGATACTTCAACAACCATTCCCTACTTCACCTTTACAACCTCAATCTAATCAAGCTCCTTTATCATTCGACATGGCTAATTTCTTCAATCCTCCGGTTGGCGGATCGCATGTTGGTCATGGCATGTCATCTGTAAGTATACCACAGAACGTAGATGTTCAACGATTACTCGAGGCTCTGCAACGTCAACAACCTCTTCCACCAGTTATCACACGTGTCGTTCCCGCAGAAGGTCCAATGACGGGTGGTAGTCTTGTTGCCATAGGTGGACACAGGTTGAATCATCAGACAAAGATTATGTTTGGCGATCGTCCAGCGGAAACACAATTTGACGGAACTATCGGCTTTCTCACTTGTATATCTCCTCCCAGCTCCAGGCCCGGTCCAGTGGATGTCACGGTGGTAGGAGTACCGCCAGCTCCAGGGACGGAAGCTCCAAAGTTCGTTTATAGAGGTTTGGAGCCAGAATTGTGAGTAGAAACTATCATCTAGAGAAATCATACTGATAGAGAAGTACGAGATTGGCGTTACAAGTGCAAGAAAAGCAACAAATGTTTTTCAACGCTTCCAATGGGCAATTCAACTGGTCCGGTACGCTCACGCAAAATGCCAATGGACAGTCAAACATGGGTCAAGGTCAAGGAATGTCATACTCTTCGTCAAACCATCAACACAATGTGTCGACGGACGTCGATCAACCAATGTCGACCAAAAATAATGGTGTGGTGATCGATCACGAGGTTAAGCCAAGCGAAAAACAAGAACCGGATTTGCAAACTACCATCTTTGAATTTCTTCAATCTCTCAATCACAAACTCCCCGGATCTCTTCGCTCATCAGACGCCATCAACACTCTCAATGAATCCCGACAAAGTCTCTCACATCTAGCCGCTTCGGCGGGATTCTCACATTTACTCAACGAGGTATTATCCTACGGCGCAGAAGTGGACATACAAGATATACACGGTTTCACCCCTCTGTCATATGCCGCTTACGGTGGTCATATTGAATGTGTTCGACTTCTCATCAACGCTAAAGCATCTTATGACCAACCGACTTTACTAGGAGAGATGCCATTGGATCTTGCTCAATTACGTGAACATGACGATGTCATTCAACTTTTGGTTTCTGAAGTTTGGCAATCTTCCTCCGAACCTATCACTCGACCTGAGATCCCCGACATTGATCTATTAGCGACGATCGATGATCATTTGAACGAAAGGCACATCGAGTCCGATGACCATTCTGATATCAGCGAAGAATTGGAAATTATTCAACCTAAACCATTCAAGCATGACCACCTTGACCCTATGGATGAAATACTTGTCAATAGATCTCCACCGACAAGACGGAACAAATCAATATATTCACCTAAACATATCCGAACTCCTTCACCTGATCATCCACCACCACCTCCATACGCATCACCCATTCATACACCTATAAACTTACCTCGATCACATCAAACTACATCAAAAGAAGAAAATCGAAATGGATGGTTTAATTGGAAACTTTCCACTATTTCCATCCCATCACCACCTTCATCTCATATTCGATTACCTATCCCTAATCTGTTCGGTGTGATAGATAACAAATCATCGGATGGAGAAGAATCTGGAGCTTTTAAATGGATTCCAATCCCACTTCCATCTTGGGAGGCTAGACATGGTTTACCTTCTTCGGAAGAATTGAAAATGTATTCTCAATCTTGGGCTGTGGTGTTGGTTTCTCTTGTTTCACCTCCTTCTCCAGAAGGTAGAAGATCGGATTTGGAAGGGGATGATGTAGTTGGATCAGGGACGACTGGAGGGAAGGGGAAAGTGAGACATACTAAGAAGAGTGAGTAATTGATTTTTTCGATTTTTTTTTTCATATTTTCCACTTGCTTTAGTTCAACTCTCCCACTGCATTGCACATTACTCTTTCCCCTCCGATGGACTCTTTCTCATGTCCGCCTGTTCTTCATTCTGTTCTTCGACCTCTTACTCACTTTCTCTTCCGATACCTCAACCTTTCACACGTTTGGCTTTTCTGATTTGGTACGCAATGAGACTTATGGAAGAATGATGTTTTCCAGTGAGACAAGGACAAATTTGAGCAAAGATGGTCAGACGCGACAACAAGCTGTAAGAATCAAAAAATCCGCACATGCTGACAATCAGCCGATATCATGTTATGGATATTCTGGTTACCCGTTTTATGCTTTTTCGGATTTTGGGTCTTAATCACCGCTCTACCAATCGTTACCACCGTCGGATTGTTATATTTCCGACAAGTTTACAAGGCTCTAAAACAGCGAGTGTAGGTGCATCCCCGGTCGCCAGTGGACGGTTGTCATGTTGAAGGGAATAAGCCATGGGCGGTTCAGACGTTGATTGATTGAGGACATTAGGACGTCATGAATGAAGTATGTACGTCAATCCAGTAGCTACTGAATATTTATATTGTTTCTCTCTCATTCCAAAGTATTTATTCATCCTAAAGCTAGAACGGGTAGAGATGATTGAATGTATGATGATGGAATCCTCGATTGGATGTCCGAAAAGAGTTAAATGTTACTGTAGAGAAAGGAATATGCATGTCATGTCTTTTCTCTATTTCCTTGCATATGAGATAGAAAAAAGAAGACTGAAGCCCGAGTGGGTAAAGAGAAAGTAAACCTAGGTATGATATATATACAATTTTCATTTTCCTCATTCTTCTTTACATGAATCTTTTCTTTTCTTTTGTCGGTCGTATGTGTCCCACATCTTTTTCCATCGTTCAAATAAGATCAGATTCGACATTGTTGGGAGAATCGAAAGTGGAAGTGGTGTTTTTGATTTTATGAGAAGAATCATGATCGTCAAGAGGTATATCATGAGTTTCGATAGAAGAATCATTTTCGTCGATAGAGATGGATAAATCGTTCTTGTCAATAGTAGAATCATGACTTCCAATAGTAGATGAATCATGTGTGTCAAGAGAAGAATCATTACTGAACGAAGGAGAAGAATGTTGGATGGAAGTAACATTTTCTTCGATCAAAGAATCATGTTTGAATGAAGAAGGTGAATCGATAGCTGTTGCTTTAACAACGACTGGGATCATTTCTCCAGTAGCGAGAGGATATGGTTGATGTCGTAGTATAGCGAGTAAATTACGAAGGAAAGCGGAATGAGAAGTTATTGAGATATCTTATTGATTAACAATTCGATCATAATCATTCTTATTCTGTACATACGCAGGGATGACCTAGTACTAAGTCATTCTGAAAAAGGGTCCGGGGGGTTTATGAAATGTTTAAGAATCGTTTCAACTTGAAGGAAAGATTGCAATGAGTCGATGAGGAAAGACATAATGGGAGAGTAAAAATGAAACTCACAGGTCTCTTTAGCACCCTCTGGACCGAAAAGTCTATCCAACGCTCGGGTCGCACGTTCTTGCATGTGTTTATCATCTTCCCTGTAATCCGCCCTCCAGAGCTCATCTTCTTCCGCTAAAGAGGGTTCGATGATGAAGTGTGGGAAACGTTTCCGGATGGTTGACTGGGGTAAGTCTTCTTTCTCTTTCCTTACTTCCGACCAGGAATCTCATCATCTCATCATTCCTATGAGCTTGTTTGAGCAACCCGCCCCTCCCCCCCCCCCCCCTTCCCACCCTCTGTGGTGATTTGGTTGATTTCGTCTTCATGGGGGCGTCATTAGATAGAAGAACTTTCACCATCACATACGATGTATAGGAGGGAGGACAGAAGTATGAATGACGGACAAAATACAATGGGAACAACGACTCACCTTTGAAGATCTCTTATCACAAGTATGACTACCATAAATCTCCCTCCAATCTTCCCAAACTTCCGGAACACCCAACAAATCACCCCACGACTCAATCATAGTTTGTCCAGTACGTGTCAACGGTGAAACATACCATCTCATCTCTTCATGTGATACCGGTGCACCTAAAGGTTTTTCCCTTTTCCATGCTTTTTGTATAGCCCGAGCTTGTGAAACGCCCAAAGGAGTTAGTTCAGGATCTGGTCCCCAATTCAAGACTCCATCTCCGGTGATGAATGTCCAATGTGCTTCCCATGCCTGTTGAACACGCCAATCGTTCCAGTTATGGAGTGGAGTTAGGATAGTCAGGATATCGGAGATGAAGATCAACGAAGATACCGATCGGCAGTCGGCAGTTGACATTCGGCAGAAATCCAAGAGCCGAAGTGATTTGGACATGGTCCGATCGACGATCATAAGTGCGTGGGTGGAGTACGTGGAATGGAAATTAATATGGAATAGATAGAAAGTTGTATGTTTTTCGAAATGTATGAAAAAGAAATAAAGTATGATGAGCAATGTAATGATCATGGTATGAGAATGATGAAAGAACAAAACGTTTTCGTCGTAAGCCAAGAAACAAGCTTTTCGAAAAGAAGTTTATCACTCACCTCTGCGCCATATTTACTAGCACCAAAATTATGCCATCCTTGACCATGTCTAGCGATGAACAAAAGTTTGTAACTCACTCCAGGAGGAGCGTTAGCTTGTAATTTAGAAATGGAAGATTTCAAATTTGTCCATCTATCTTCTGAAGTATCTATAAGACCGAAAGAACGTTTTAGCTATTTGAATTAGCTCCAGACTCAAAATTTTATCACATTCCATGATAACTATCCATCCTTACCGCCTCGTGTCATTACCGATGCCTCGAGGCGATTTGGGGGTGGTTCATCACACGAGCTTCTGAGGAAAGAGAAGATAGGACATGAAAAACAACACTTACGACTTCGTTGAATGTAAGATGTTTAGGTTTTGGTCCATTTTGTAAGAAATAACCTTGTATGACCTATCAACTTGTCAGCTTTTTGACTCGATGGAATACTTAGAATTGAGAGGAAACTCACTTCGTAGTTGAACTTTTGTCTCTCTACTAGTAAACCAGGATCGACAGCAGGACCACCATCGTCAATCGCAGCGATAGGAGGATCATCTTCTAATGGTCTAGTCATTTCGTTCGAAATCTTTTTTGATTTTTGAAAAGAAGGAAAGTGGAGGTTAAGTGATGGATGATGGATTGATGGAAGTGGTGAGTTTTTATTTGATGGGGATGATGAGTTCGAATGTGAAAGATGAAAGAAATAATTTTAGTTGAATCGACTAAACAACGTAGGATCAAGGAAATTTGAATTTATAGTAGTAGTTGAACTAGTTGGACAGGGCGAGATTCGAGGGCAGAGGGGCTAGAATTTCAGACTGGAAACAGACGCCCAACGAGGAAACACCGCGCTACTTCGGTCCGATTCGTCACACGGTCGGGATCAGATAACCCCTCTCCTTATAGCCGGTAAGTTAACCGATTGGAAGTGCTCGTACTCGTACTGAGCGTAGACAGGCAGGGTAAGTCAGAGTGGGGGTAAGGGGGGGTTTGAAGGGGACGAGGACGGTCGTGGAGCCTAAGTGAAAACAGGTTGCATGCCTGCAGGTGGGGAGCAAAAATTCGATTTGAAACGTGTCACCAAAGTACCCCGATGAGCGCGATCGCCCTAGCCCTCTCCTTCCTTTCACCCCCTTTTTACCCCTTTCACTACTCTACTTGCCCCTTCTCTCCTCTCCCATCCCCTCATCCCCTTGACTCCTTCGGCTCAGGAACGCATTCTCTAATGATATGTATGGGCCCAAGTCAGTTGACCCGTGATGTGATCCGTCGTGATCCGACAACGAGTTAATTAAACAACATGCTAAGCAATGTGTGTACGAACAAGTCCAAGTGCATCCGTATAAAAGCCGGCAATGGAGATAGAGATGAGTGTAGAAGATTTCACTTTACTAGTCAGGTAGATCCCAAAGCAAAAAGAGACAAAGTCATATGGAACAACCATTCTCTCAACCCCATAAACTACTGGCCATTCCACCATCTGATATGACCGCCGGTAGGGCACCGAGAAACCCTCCAAATTGCGCACTCGTCACCCCACATGTACTCGCAGCTCGGATCTGCTGTGCCTGTAACATCAACTCTCGGTCCGAACAAGGGGAACAAGGTTTGACGTTTCATTCCTTCGTACATACCTCAGGGAGCCATTCGCGCAATTGCTGTTCCTATCAGCTATGCCCCACTCGACGGCCATCACAATATCCTCTGTCACCTTTTCTCCACTCATACCATCAAGAGAAATTAATGTGGGTGATGAGACAAGTCCGACACTCACTTTGATTCGTTTCGCATTGGCAGGATGAGTTGATAGGAAGTCAACATCGACCTTTGTCCCCTTCTCAGCCAGCGACATGCGTTGCCACATCCTAAAAGCCCCCGATCAGCTTGGTACAAAGGACGGGTTTCATCCTATCTACATCGGGTTGGGAGCGTGCGACTGATCTGGGTTGAAACTCACTCGGTAGACTCGGACGGATCGAAACACGCTTTACTGAGAGGTGAGCGGGGCTACTTATCGGATAAGCAAAAAAGACTCACGCCATGAGACGAAGCCCGATGTAGTCAGCTTCGCTCTCACTTTTTCTCGAGTTGGGTAATCTATGATCAGCTTAGCCAGTTTTTTTTTGCACCTGCTACGCTCACTGTAAAAGCAAAGTAAGCAAGAGACGGGACAATCCGACATCTAAACCCAGGGTCTCTAGCAAGAAGCCAAGTGCAAAAAGAACCTGCTCGTAAGTCCTGCGTGAGTACATGTGACGGTGGTGTGGTTAACAAACCTTCATCGAACTCAACCTCTCAGCGCCATGTCGCGCGACTGTCATCATCAGCTACTCCTTTTGCAACGAAGCAGTGACTTACCCTGATGAGCCACTTCATGACCTAAGATAGTAGCTAGACCATCATCATTCGCCGCCACTGGGAGAATACCTGTAAAGACGAACACCTTGCCTCCGGGAAGTACGAATGCGTTCTTGATTTTTTGATCATCTATGACGTACACCTAACTCATTAGCGCTAAGCCAGAATATCCACCGATGACTCACCTCCCATTCTGTTGAACTTCCAACATCATCATCAAGATGTCCACCTCCAAAGAGTACATCGCTCATCCTGATCTCGCTATTCCACGCTTCAGGCATTTTTCCTTCTATCGCTCCCATTTCCCCTCCTGACTTGACCCGACCAAGACCGGAAGATTCGATGATCCGTGCGGCTATGTCTCTGACTCGGCGGGTGATGGGATGGTTGGGTGGAAGAACATGAGTAGAGTATTCATTAAGTGTTTGATGTTGAGTTTGTATACCGAGCTATCTTGTCAGTGGGTGTCGGCTCGACGATGTTGTCTGTCCGTTGAACACACCTCTCGCTCTTGAGCTTCGCTCACATCTATAAATCTCCATCGTCCGGTCTCAGGTACCTTTTCCAGACTAGTTTTCAGCTACGATATTGACCGCTAGATGGAGTATCTCACTGTACTATGTAGTAGACCACACAACCCCCTACGACCACACCATATATCACAAGACCCCGATCACCGCCAGCACGTCGTCGAAGATATTCCATTATGTGAGATCCACCAGGTTCAGAAGGCTCAGAGCTATAATTTCCTGACCGAAATCGTTCATACTTTGCATTTCTGATCGGAGAGGTATGTATGAATCGAGCTGGACTATCAAAGCTTAATCGAGCGTTCCGTCCGGGGCAGGGGAACGAAGACCAAGGTGTCAAGGGTGGTGGAATCTTGGGTAGTCGAGGTGGCAGTCGAGATGAAGACCCCTGAGCATTCTTCACCGCCTGCCGAAGCAAGTGTTCCGTTCTTCTCATTGAGCTCATCGAGGTGCGTTGTCCCTCTGCTGGGACAGACCTAAGAAGAGACAACTTGGAAGGGGGAACATACTGTAGCCGCATCAGGAGAGAGCCGATCAACGAAAGAATAGGCGCGCTCTTGGAGACGATCCTACGCGCCTAGTCAACCCCTAGGGATGAGCTCTGTTTCGTCCTCGACCTCATGTCCTTTTGTACCCAGTGATCCAGTGAACCATTTCATACAGGGCGATGCCTTCCGATCTCGCATACTGGCTCATATCGGCTCCGCTGAAAGATGGAGATCCTAGGGTTATGCTGGATGAAGTGGCGAGAGCGCTGGATGGTAGTAGTCCCGTAGGCGGATGGGAGATTCCCGAATTGAAGGTGGGTTCCTTGCTTCTCCTCGTAGTTCGTCTACATCATTCCTCCTTCTCAGATAGATCCGTCGCATCCTCTCCATCTCCTCAAACACCCCTGGATTTGGGGAATCTGGAAGTATGGCCTCATCATTCCTTCTTGTAAATGTATATACGTGAACGCGTCCTAGTGACGAGGAGAAAGCATCACAGCCCTTAAGGTAAGATCGAAGAACTTGGAATGGAAGATACATTAAGTGGGAGAATCATACTCATCAGCCAAGGCCGGTACCCTTTCTTCCCTACTCAACCTCTCCGACTCCTTACCCAAAGTGGATGCCCAATTCACACAATCCGTCTCGAAAATCCTCGATAACCTTCGGTCTCTCCTTTCAGGCGATGATGGTAAACTCTCACAACATGCCAGAGTCAATGATCGACCGGCGGAAGAATGGCTTATGCCTAGTAACGGGTTTTGGAGATGGGACAAAGGTCGTTGGGGTGTTGGAGGAAAAGTAGGGGATGTGGTGGATGCTTTGACTAAGGTGAATTTGTCTCTCCTACTGATCTTCACCTTTTCTTGGTGCTCAATCACACAAGCGATCATCGCTTGCCCTGTCTTTGTACTTGCAATATACAGGCCATTTTGGGGGATTTATTTGCGAAGAGTGTTTAGATAAACGCTTGAGAAAGAAAGAAGGCAGCACATGTTCTTCGAGATGAGGCAGTACGACGGGGTTGTATCTGGAGAGCTGAACCAAAAGGAGATGAACACTATAGAGTCTACCCAAAAGCAAAAGGCTCAGTCATACGCTTTGGTAAAAGGGAGCCTGAACAACATACAGAGGAAACGAACGTATGTTGTCATGAACCGAGGCGATGTTTCCCGCTGATAGGCTAGAGGTAATTTGTCACAGAGGAGCTTGTTGGAAGTGGTGAAAAAAGAGGATTTAGTGGAGAATAGTGAATTTCTGGAAACATTGGTGGTAGCTGTGCCAAAGTGGGTCTCCTGTCATCATTTATTTATCACTTTTCATCCTTCTGTATTCTCCCCGCCTCTTGTCTGCTCTTATTTTCTCCCATTCTACTTCACGTTCCTGTTTTTTTTCCCCCCCCCCCCCCCCCCCCCCCCGCGGTTCCCGAGGCTTTATACAGCTCTTGCTCCATTGAAGAGAATGGTTGCTGACGCTCAGAAATCTGGAGAAGGAATGGCAAAATAAATACGAACGGTTAACAAGCATGGTCGTCCCCAGGAGCTCTCAGTGAGTTCTTCACCCAATATCTCTGCGAAGTTTGAGGACATGACAATAGCGCTGATATCTCAGACGGATAGCGACTGATGATGAGTTCATGCTGCAGACTGTAACGGTTTTCAAAAAGGTTCGAGAGGAATTTACTCATAAATGTCGGGAAAATAAGTAAGCTTCCACGTTGTGATACCGGCCAGAGCTGACGAGGTAGGTTCATAGTGAGGGATTTCAAGTGGGACGATAGTGCTTTGGAGAAGCAGAAAAGAGAGTTGAAGGAGCTCGAGCAGGAGGAGAAGGAATTATGGGTGGGTCATTTGGCTCTTCCACTACAGTCACTATGATCTTATCGGCAACGGGTCGTCCTGTCTCATAATCTCCTACACCCATTCTGTATGGTTTTTTCGCATCGTCTCATCCGACTAAAAGACGTCTTCCATTTGTGTCTCTATCCGGACCTCAGTAATAACGGGTCCTTGCGTGCATTCACTGGAGCAACGGGCATCGCCGAGACATTTTTGTGCTAACTCGTCAGACTGAACTACTTCGACTGTCCAGAATAAACTTCTCTGAAGCGTACCAAATCCTCGCCCACTTGAAGACGGTCCGTCTGTTTGTCGAATCTGTCCTTCGCTACGGTCTACCTGCCGATTATGCAGGAGTAATAGTCAAGGTCAGTTCTTCTTTCTGTCCTCGTCCGCTTCTCTCCATTGCCATGTTCCCTACCCTTCTTTTGCTCAATTGTCTGCTGAACACGTAACGTGTCCCATGGAGCGAGCGGCTGTACCCCCCCCCTATTTGAGAATTATCACTCTGACTCTCAGCCGGATCCCAAAACAGCCATGAAAACCCTCCGCACACTCTCCACTCACTACACATATCTCGCCTCGGCATCAAGAGGTCCATCAACCCGTCAAGGCAAATCAGGCGCTGCAACGGCTAACACCGAGGATGTAGGTGGAGAATGGGCCAGTGTCATGGAAGCGGAGTTTTACGACTTTGTATTGTTTGAATTACCAAAAGTTCTCGATGTGTAGACGACATGAGTGGCATTGCATAGGTTTACGAATATGTCTCGTATCTTTACTGTTTCTTGCATCGGCTCATCTCATATTCCAAGTAGTAGTCGTTCGTATCTCTTCGACACCTACCACATCCTTGACATCGTTGAACATTCAGACTTGACGAGGAAGGCGGAAGTAATTCATAACCGACATACCCGGCGCCGGTTGGGCCGAATACAGATCGGGCCGAGTCCCGGAATGGCGACGAAGTTGTTGTAACCTCCATAAGACGACTCTGCTTCTCTTTCACCATTTTCTAATCCAACAACCTCAATTGACCCTTCATCAGAACGATCTGGTATACAACACAAGTTGTCAGAAACGAGAAATCAGAGATCACAAAGTCATACCTTGAAAAAGTTATTCCATCATGTCTCATTTTCATCAAATAACGGATGAACAACCTGATCATGTCAAAAAGCTCAACTTGGAGAATAAAGGTTGTATGCTTGTGGGTATCAGGAAAGTTCAAATTACCGATATACCTTTACCTATCTTACAACCTGATGGAGTTTTGGTGAAAGTGGTTTCTACAGATAAGTCCCATACTTTTCTCATTTCTTCATTGTCTCATGTTTCATATTCCTCATAGATCTGGTCACCTATCGGTTTGGTCTCCTTACTTTGGAGATATCAACTTTTCTTTCCTTAAGAGACTGTTGAACATCATACTCTGGACCGTGATAGTCATGAATGGATTAGGTAGGTGAAGTGGGAGAGTGATAAGATGGGAAGGGTTATTTCGGAGCGGATTAGAGATGGCAAAAGGAGATCAGTTGAATAGTAAACTTGTGCTGACTTTTACGTATCTGTGGAAGCGACATGCACGCTTATTCTTCTGGTGGAGTAGGGGGGAGACCTATTACCGAACCAGTCATAATGGGACATGAATCCGCTGGCGAGGTCATAGCTGTAGGATCAGCTGTTACTAGTCATAAAGTTGGAGACAGGGTCGCCGGTGGGTTTTATCTTGGCTCGAAACTTGCATATGATTCCATCTTTATCTCAACCTTTCAAATTCCCCACTCTAAGATTCACATGTCTTCCCCAATCCCGAGAGTTGATTTCGGCCTTTTATGCGAATAGAGGAGTGCACAACTGGCTTTGATAAATCGAGGAGCTTGGTGGAAACAGTGGACGAGGGAAAGAAGAAATGTGGGCTGATAATCTAGTCGAACCTGGTCTTCCTTGTCGGAGATGCATCAACTGTAAAGAAGGTCGATCTAATCTATGTCTGGATTACCTCTATTGCGGAGCGCCTAATGCTAAAGGTTCTATTCAGAAGTAAGTCCTCGCCCCCGCTTTCTTCCTACACATCAAACCATCTCTCGTTGTCTTATCGATGTTCGGAATATCAAGTATGTGCTAAGAAAGGCTGATGTGAATAGGTATTTCGCCCTACCTGCCGATATGGCGCCTAAATTCCCTGATAATGTTGGATGGGACGAAGCGGGCAGTATCCAACCTCTTGCCGTGAGTTCATCCCCTCAAAGTTGACGGAACAGATGATTCATGAATAGATTGGGATACAGATTGGGAAACGTGTTGATCTTCGACCTCATCAAACTCTTGCCGTCATGTGAGTTGACTTTCCGTTTCTACCCGTTTCCTCCTCGTCATCGTATATACTCCTGCTCTGTCTCGAGACCGTCTATCTTCTCATGTCGGTCAGGAATTGATCACTCTTTCTTCAAGACCACACAGAGGATTTCTGATTTCATGGACATACGAACACGAACAATCTAGAAAGTAAAGAGAATATGCTAACACCGAAGGGGTTGCGGTCCTATCGGTTTAATCACAGCAGCCGTAGCTCACGCTTACTCGGTCAAAAAGATAATCGGTATCGATATAAACCCCACTCGGGTCGAATTCGCTCGAAAGTATATCTCCCCCATCACCGGAAAACCCATATTCGATCATGTATTCCTCAATTCTCCCTTACCGGCTGTATCACTGAAACATAAATATGAAACAGACCCAGCTCTTGTCAAAGCCATCAGTGATCTTCCCAGTGGACCAGGCGGAGATGTCGAACCTACTCAAGCTAATGGTCATGAAAGTACGGTGGGTGATATGAAATGGGAAAACGCTATTGTTCGTGCTGCTGGTTGGTTGGAAGAATCAGGTTTGGCAGAAGCTGGTGGAGTTGATAGAGTCGTAGAAGCTAGTGGAACGGAAGATTGTTGTTTGTTAGGTGTAGCTTTGGCCAAACAGGGTGGAACGTGTGAGTTTACCTTTCCACTCCCCTCCCCAAGCTGGACGTGTTGCAAGATAATCAAGAGAGTTTAGATGTAAGAGAAGTGGGAGAATGGAGGATTGATAGAATGTCGGACTGATGAATAGATTTACAAGTTGGTTTGAGTCATATTCAAACTATGCTCTTCCCTAATGTCGCCGTGACTAACAAGGAGCTTGATTTGAAAGGTGAGTAATTCTTACCTTTCCTTCTCATTCTTTTTGGACTACAACAAGTACCATATCCCATACCGCTGGCCCCCATCCCCTACCCCCTCTCTATCAAGGGTGACTTTGATCTTCCTTCAGGTAAGACAATACTTCCGGTCAATGGAGAGATATATAGCAATGAAGTAGAAATAGGGAAAGGATCGATCAGGAAACAAGCGGTCACAAACGAAATCGGAAAAAGCAGCTTATGTTTAGGTATCACCCGATACACATCTTCTTGTTTCCCATCAGCTATCGATCTCTTATCTAGAGGAATGGTAGATCTTAAACCTCTCATTTCCAAAACTTTCCCTTTGGCCAGATCTCAAGAAGCTTTCGAAGCTGTCAGAGCTGGAAAAGATATCAAGATTATCATTAAGAATCAAGAATGATCCATCTCTTCTCTCTCTCCTTTCCCAATTTATATATCCAAACCCGATCTCATCGTTGCCCTTCCATTTCTCGTTGAGCCATTTCTCGTTGAGATCAAAGTAATCGTAATCGTAATCGTAATCGTATTCGTAGTGGTATTTACCAAATCTTTCTTCTGTTCTTCGTTCTTTCCACTTTGATAGATGGGACCGAAGGATATTAGGATAGCTTATTATAAGATGCATCAATTTAACCATTTTTGTAATGATTGATAATTATCAAACTGAGTAGTATCACCAATACTCCAAATATCAAAAATGTTGGTAAAATATATTTACCATAACATTTGATTTCACTTTTAGTCAATATCATCTTTTGTCTTGATATCACAAATCTCGTGTTTTGTCCTTTGATCACTCGATAGCTCTTCAACGGGAAAGAACACCGAATACGGGTCTGGGGTGAATTGTGAGGAGATGAGATACAGTGATTTGGTGATAGTGGTGAGATTCGAGAGAAAGGTAATACTTACGCCCATAAACATTCTCTACTTAATTTAGGAATTTCTTGACTATGTGGATAAAGATTGATCGGTCCGATATTCTGATTCGTACGCTTAGGTATACCAGATGTAATTTCTGGGGATACTGAAGAAAGAGTAGGGAAGGAAATACGTGGTACGGAAAGACGATGGGAGTGAGTTGGAAGTAATGGTTGACGATCTGATGATTTCATAGTGTTCCCTTTTCTCCTTCAATTTCTCCTCTAACTTACTGTGACTTAACGCGCCAATCTCAGTGTATGCAGTCGGTCGGATCTGCTTGGCTGCTTGGGTTGAGAAGGATGTGTAGCGTGTTTGCGAAGACAAGATCGATCGAGGGAGGGGGAGTCACTACCCTACGTCATATACCTTCCCCACGGGGCAGACACATACATCTAGAGCACGAGTCAAATACGACTGATACTCGATTTGTATCGTTCCAATGCCATATATGTTGTTGATGTATTATGTGATGCTATCGTGCTATCCTTTCTATAACCACCCGACCATAAAGTTCGATAACTTGGCCCGACTCCTCAACCCGGATGACATGGTCCCCCCCCTCCCAACCCCCCGTCAGATCCGCTCAGAAAATCGTAATGGAGTCCACCACATGTTCCGACTCACTATACCCCAAAACATGTTCTATATGACTACTCTTCAACCCTTTGATCCTATCAATCTCCACTGAATTATACTGCGCCAGACCCTTTCCAACCTCCACTTCTTCCCATTCATCATCCTTACCCTCTCCCAGTGCTCCAAATCCGGCAAAGGGAACACTCATCGCATTGGCAATCTTCTCTGTCAAAGCATGTATAGCGGGTGAAGGTGGAACAGATTTATTTAATGGATCAAGTGAAGCGATGGAAGGAGGACAGGTCGAAGTGTTGGAGTGTCAGGAATGGGATGATCACCTGTTATGGATATCGAACCGGATTCAGAGGCTGACACGGTGAGAGGGTCAAGAAGATGATGTATATGTCTTGTGATGGATGAGGGTGATGAGGAAGAAGGGGAAGCGGGAGTGATCATACGAGATGGAGTATCAGGGGAGCCATCAAGAGATGAACGAGTAGGGGGTTCGACGGTTATGGATCTTGGACGTCGACGTCGACGGACAACAATACGGACTGCTTGATGAGAAGCAAAGGGACCACCTTCGACACGTACAACTCCGGCTGGAAGTAGACGACCCCCGGATTCTTTTCGACTGATGGCTCGGAGCGCTCCTTCGTCGATTCTGGTCGTCAATTGGTTTCAAGTCAATGCAGTGGCATCAGGGCCACAGTCTGGATTTCGAGGTTAATCCCGAGACTGATCATTGTACGCGAAGGTGAGGAGAGACTTACACTACAGTGCCAGCTGCATGCAATCCATGAGTGATCCACCATTTACGACTGTCAAAGTCAGCATTTATCTCTGTCACAGGAAGAGGATAACCGAACTTACTCTTTCAAAGCCACCTCTCGTCGGAGGAACCGCGTACACAGTGGACCTTCATCAAGGCCAGGCGTATCCGCTTCCTCCCGACTAGGTCCCACGCCATTCTCAATGACACCAAAAATGTCAGATACCTTGTTCGAATTCATAATGACGGCGGTAGTGCCAGCTGCGGTGGCCAACTCGGCAGCTATGAGTTTTGTGGACATTCCTCCTGTGCCAAGAGAGGTACCCAAGGTCTTCACCGAGACTGTCTGTTAGCTATCCACAGGTGTAGTGAGGACAGGAAGTGGCAGAATCTGTTGAAGGAAGAAGTGAAAACACACCCTGCTCTTTGATTTTCTCAATGTCTCTCACTACCCTCACAGGTTTGGCATCGGGATTATGTCTCGGATTGTCCGTATATAGACAGTCGACGTCCGTAAGAAGGAATAGGTAATCCGCGTGCACTATACCACTCGTTATGGCGGAAAGTGTGTCATTGTCGCCAAATTTGATTTCCTGAGATGAGCAACGGACCATGTCAACACGAATGCGAGAAGTCTGAGTACGGTAGACTCTGATATGAAGGGAGAAGAGAAGAAAAGACGTCGTGGGAGCAAAGGAGAGTATCAATCAGGAATGTGATTTCACTCACAGAAACCGACACAGTGTCATTTTCATTAACGATAGGAAGCACCCCCATCGCCAGTAATTCATTGAAGGTATTCTGAGCGTTCAGATATCGAGTTCTCTGTTGTCTCAGCTGAATGTTTCACTGGCGGTGGTATGACTCACGTCTGAAATATCCGTTCTGGTCAATAATATCTGCGCGATAGGCTGATCAAGTTGGGAGAAAAGATTGTCCCAGAGCGCTATGAGTCTTCCTTGACCAACAGCTGCCAATGCCTTTCCATTAGTTCTGCCTTATTTATTATCCGAGATGAAACGACGAACCTGTTTCTGACTTAGGAGCTTACCCCTCTCTTTCAAACCCATCCGTCTCAGCCCCACACCGATGGCCCCGGAGGAACATATGACCACCTTATGTCCGAGCTCGCGAAGGTTGACACATGTCTCAACTATGGAAGAAAGAAGTTGAAGATGTGGTAGGAAAGGGTAAGCGGGGGAGACGATAGAAGAAGTTCCTGTATGTCAGAGAGGAGATGACGAGGTTCTGAAGGTTTCGAGGGAATCCAGTTGACACCGGAGGAGGAGGTAGAATGTGGCCACTCACCTAGCTTGATGACAATTGTCAGACTAGATTTGGGCTTTGGCTATCTCATCAGATCTACAGATACCTACTCGAGTGGTGAGCTCACCATGTTCTTTGCAATCTCCCTCGACCTCAAGCCAGGTTGAAAAGGCCCAACTCATGACTCGAGGATACCTATGAAATCGACTGGACATATACGGAGACTTGACTCATCTCCGCTGGCTGAGACGTCACGTGACCCGAGTTTGGGCTGAGATTTTCACCCTCTTACAACCAAATTGCTGAATTTGAATGGTCTGCAAGGCAGCACGGCGGCATGGTGGACAGAATGAAGCGCAAAAGAGATGGTGATGGCACGGCACAGATCAGAAGTCATATCCCACGGCAGCATGCTACTCGGTTGTATACGTCTGGACGGGAGGTGCAAGATGCTCTGGCGCCGATTTCCCTTGACGGTGAGTTCAGTCCTACACCCAAGTTGCCAAAATGCTGTTCCGCTGATAGCTTCAGCCTTGGTGTCATTCCAGCATCAGATCTACACCCCTCATACTCATCTTCCATTACCTATATCCCACAAGACAGTCGCCCTCGTACAAGAATATCTCGAAGCTTCTCCATCATGTGACGAGGTCTTCAAATCATGGCAGCAAGGCGAGCAGGTGCGTCACTATATCACCGCACGTGAAGAAATGTTAACGTATAGCAACGGGACGAGAAACTAGTTCACGCTTCTGTGAGACTGTTATCGACCATTCTAAAAATCTTAACCCCCTTGCCATACTTTCAATCCTCCCTCACTGGTCTGGTCAACAAGATCATATCAGCCTCGGAACCTTACTACGACTCGGTGAGATTTACTTGACTTGACTAGCAGAACGCTAACGCTAATCAAGCTAAACTATCTCATCCAATCGGATAAAAGAGATGAATGTCTCAATGGTGTCGAGCTTGCCGCAGCGGCATTACATGTGGACCTACCTCGGGCCAGTGACGGACACGCAGAGTCTGGTCGTCTTTCTCTCCGCGTCTGGTCAGCGTTGGCCGAAGGAGGTAATCTCAAGCGTATCGGAAAGATGCTTGCTATGAGACGTAGGAATAAAGAGGGAATGCCAGAATATGGTGATCGTGATCCTCTTGACAGACCTGGTAAGTCCAGCCTCTGGCTGATAGTCATGAACTGATGTTGCCCAGATATCCGACATGCACTTCTTCATCTCATCCTACCTATGTTCCCAACACCCCTCTTTCAGGCCCATGCGAGACTGGTGATGCCCTCAATCTGGTCTCACATCTCTTCTGATCCTCCTATCACCGTCTATCGCATCCTTGACGCAGCATGGACGGCAATTACCGCGCAGACATCTGGACTTGGAAGAAGAACGTCTCTTGTTCTGCTCAACGAGTCGGCTATCGAACATCTCTTACAGCTACTCGTCCGTCAGGATACCGAGCCTATCACGGGCAAGAAGGTCGGGGAGATTGTCTCCGCTTTCTTGGACAGTGTGACAATTGTTCCAGGTCGAGGCGTTTGCTTTCCTGACGAAGGGTGGTACCCTCGTCAACCGACCGAGGACGATGCCAAACGTTCGTTCGCCGACCAGGAGTACCATAATCCCCGCGGCGATCCAGAAGAGCGTCTCAGGCGAGGATTACACAACAGGATTTTGTCCAATGTGGTCAGACGTCTCGGGCCCAAGGTCATCGACGAGCATGAACAGATAGGAGATTGGGTGGTGAAAGTCTTGCAATCATGTCCTGAGCTCGTTGCCAGGTCAGTCTTTCCAAGATACTCTTCCCATGCATCTCGCTGACGTTCAGCTACTGGCCGCATTCAGCCATGAGTATGGAGCCGAAATTAAGCTCAAGGTGGTGTGCCAATATGGCGTTCGCAGGGAGAATCGTGGCCCTTCCCCCACCCAACCTCTCTACCTTCCGACAACCCCTCCCCAAGGGTTTGTCATCAGTTGACGAATCAATGCCCTTTCGGACGACTCCCCCGGTCATAGCCACTGTAATCGAGTCGATCATGCCCTCTCCACTCACAAAAACGCACATCACCAAAGGTCTCCTCGTTGCCGACGACCTGGTCAAGCACATGACCGCGATTACGTTGGCCAAGTGTCTACAAAAGCTCAGCACGGTTCAAGACTTGTTTAAAACCATCGAAGAAGAGATCAGCACACAGCCCTCGTCGTCCACCACACTAGACTCTTGGAGGCGTGCTCGACGTGAACTCGAGCTTGAAGCTCGTCGTCGCGTGCCAGACGTTCAGACGATCATCACCATGGCCCAGAAGTCTGCGACTATGGCACCGGCCGATCCAGAGACGGATGAAGAGAAAGCCCTTGCGGCACGTTCCGGCATGCTCACTGAGGTGGCAATGCGACTCTTCCGATTGTACTACCGTACCATGCCCAGTATTGCCTCCGAGGTCAAGTTCGATCCTGGTCGACTTCTGGTGTCATCTTCTAGCGTAAAGGGCGAGCGCCGTGCTCGGAAAGATCTTCGATCAGGTAGTGTATTGAGTGACACGGGCACCGTCGCCAGTGTGGGTACAGTGGGAACGGTCGGCATGGGCGGAGGCTTCGGTCATACCAGAGGAGACGTTCAAGGTTTTATGGCTCTTACCCAGGTCCATGTGCTCGAGCTATTGGGAGAGTGGCAGGATTGGCAATGGGGCAACAAAGCTTGTTAGTCCATCTCTGGCTTCACTGACGACTGCTGACGTGGACAGCGGGGTCACAGTACACTTATCTCTACCATGTCTTGCAACTTCATTTAGCCACACGTCAACCCACCGCATACGCTATGACCACCTCTCTCCTTCACACTCTTCTCACCCCTACCTTGCTGTTCGAACACGACCCCTCCGAGCTCTCCATATGGCTTGACGCACTACCTCGAAATCCCTGTTCCCTCGATGCGGCCCTGATGACGCAGCAAATTCACCTTCTTTCCTTCTTCGATGATTGTGTGCGCCGATGTACGAAGACACCATACCGCTACATTGATGATCTTAACGCTTTCCTTCCCGATTACTTTTCATGGGACAAACCTGCCGAAATGCCTAGTCCCCTACTGATGACTTTACTGGAACAGCTCAAGGCCAAAGTCATGGGGCAACATATTTCGACAGAGGCTGCCGGGGTGGTGATGAACTACTTAGGTAGAATATTACTTTGCATGTGGGGCAAACAGAAAGATGGTTTCTTCATAAGTGCTGTGGTAGAGAGACTGGAGGCCATCGTGATTGAAGCCAAGCAGGCTGGTCAAGCAAGGGCGGGATTGGAGGATGTGGTCGGCCGGATACGAAAAGACATGAATGTCATCCAGGGATCAATGATAGCAGTCGCTGACTTGGACACCTCAGCTGTCATCCCACTCTTGGCGGATGAACAGTAAGTTATTCCTTATCATAGGGATCTGGACTCACGGGTCTATAGGTCATGGACTGAACGTTGCTTCGAACGCAAGCTACTGGATAATCTGGGGAAAGACTCAACAGTTCTGGTGAACACTCTAGAAGGAAATTTTCTTGGGGCTTCAGAAGGCAGTCTCACTCGAATGGGTCAGTTTGGGGTACATCTCGCCTGTCGCCCAAAAGTCAGCACGGACGAAGTCGTCTCGTTGCTACGAGTAATCTCCAGCTGTCTCCGGCTCTCGTTGTCCATCTCACCCAGTATGAGCCACAAAGAAGCTATCTTCGGAGATATGAAGATGCGAGATCTCCTCTCGTCCGATGGTGACCAAGTGTGGAGGAAGAGTGAGTACATCTCTGAGCTAGCTGAAGCTGCGTTGACAATGTCAGCTGTGAAGGGTCTCGTTGAACTTCTTGATCCTACGGCGGAGCAAGATCGAGCTCTTGCAGAGACCTACGTGTTGCAGGCTTTGGAAGGTATGACCGAGGACACGAGAGGGGATCGTTTACAGCAAGTAAGCGTGAACACAATCGCTGACAGGGAGTCGCTGATAAGGGCAGAATCTGCTACTTGTCAGTCCATGGATCAGGTTCATGGCTCCTCAACAGGCTCAAGAAGCGATTCACTCTATCTTGCAGCATCCGGCTCGTCTGGCCACCGTCAACAAAGAGATGATGGCTACGATCTCAGCCATAGCAATCCGGACGGCAAGTCTCGAAGCAGCCTTCCAATATTTCGGTTTCTTCGTCGACGCACAGCTTCTGGAACCCCTGAGTATACTGCTCCAGGGCGATCGCAAGACCCGGGTTGCCAGGGGAGGTATTCGGCCACAGCTCAACATCCGCGCCGATGACCTTAGGCGACTTATAGCAACAAACGCGGATGAAGCGTTCCAATTACTTGGACAACTAGTGGCGGGACAGGTCAAATCGGCGATTGCACTGTCCGAACTGGTCGTAGTAGATCCAACGCTTGCTTCGGATTATCGCTTTTTGCCATTAATAAATGTCTTGTTGTCCATCGATTCCGTCGCTAGCAAGTTGTACAACACCCTCGAAGGTATCGCACAGTCAGCATTGAGAGCTCTGAACGACGCAAGACAATCATCCGTCCACCAACCCGCCCTGGAAATACTGGCAAAGCTGGTGAATTTACTTGGAGCTGGGAGTTCGAGCATTATCAACTCTCAAAAGATTGTCTCTCCTCTCCGTGCGGCGCAAATTGCGGAAATACTTTGGCGAACTGGAGGAGAGACTCTACGTCCCACATGTGTTCGACTGGTCAAGCAATTGTTGGAGGGCCTCTGTCGGGCCCTGGGCTCACAGGTAAAGCCGACGGAGGAGATTCTCCAAGCTTGTCATATTTTTGGTGAGTTGAAACTCTGTGTAGACCTAGCTGAACTGATGTGGTAGGGGCTGTTATTGGAGAAGCCTCTGATATAGATATGGAAGTCGAGCAGGTAGAGAGATACATCATCTCCACAATCCAAGATCATCTGGATGTCCCTGACATCGTGGATCTTGGTGCCATCCTCGTCAAACGAACAAGTATGAAGGTGGGTCCCGTGACCTGTTGTGATATTCAAACTAATCTACTTGTAGGCCAGCTTCATTCGACAACAATTGCAGAAATTATTCGATAATCCCCAATTCAACTCGCTGTCTCGATCCGACCAAGCTCATACTCAACTACTTCCGACTGTACGACTTATCCATGCTCTTTTTCACGCATCTCCCTACGCTTCTTGCCAACCAACATTCATCGAACGTCTTTTACATGTTTACAAAGGTACTCTTTCTCACTCGGACGTTTTGTTGCTTTCTATCTTCCAATTATTCGAGCACCATAGCAAGATCTCCTGTCTTTCCATACTCCGGTGTTGGTCACCTTCAGGTATACCTCGACCACAACGAGCCGCTGAGACTGTCGCTTCTCTCGACGCTCAGAAGGTATTTGTTACTTGTGTTCGATATCCTTTACGACGAGCTGTGCGGGGCGATTTCTCTGACTCAGAAGAAGTATATGATCCCGTCTTCATTTTTGGATTGTACGGAGCGACTCTGGAAGAAAGCTTGAGTGGATTAGATTGGGTTGAGATATTGCGCAGTAATGTCATGGGTCTGACGATCTGTGCTCTGTCTTCCAGGGATGGCGAAATGCGTGCTTTAGCAGCTGGATTACTTTCGAAAACTCTGACCTATCTAAAAGTGAGTTCTCAACCCTTTTCTTCCGCTATAATCCCAAGTAAGCTGTACCCGGTGGAAGAAAGAGAGCTGGAGAGATATGTGGCGTAGATGTTAATGAAATAGACTGTGACATTTCACGAAAGAGCTCAACTTATATACTTTCTTCGTCTTCTACGTCATTCTATCCCTCCTCCTTCCGAAACAACTTCTTCTCCTTCTAGACTTCCTCCCTTGATCACACTCTTCTTCGCTCATATACTTCGTACACTTGCGAATCCCTCTCATTTCCTCTACCCATTGATCAGTAGGTTCTTCCTCCAACGACCAACATTCGATCCGGAGGATGTTCCATTATTATTTGGCATGTTATATGCCTCTGGGGATTTTCATAAACGTGAACGTACTTGGATCATCAGATTTCTTCGTGATGGTGTGAGCACTGCACATGTAGGTTTTCTTTTTGAACCTTGACAGTCTCATACTCGCTATCCAACATCCTCATCACTTCCTATTTGCTTCGCTTTCAGGTCGTCCCATTTGACTTACCCCGATCATACCTTTTCTCTACCATCACTCCACTCTTTTCAGAGTCATACACCATCCACTCTCGGTATGCTCACATATATGATCACCAGCGCTCAGGTCGTCATTGCAATTTCGAAACCTAAGTTCTCACAGCTGATAAATAGGATTGGAAAATTCTTCAAAGACGTAATACATTCACTCTCCTCTCGACGATATATCAATCATCTCTCGATCCTTCCCTCCGTCGATTGATCCTACAAGTACGTCTTTATTTCCCTTTATGACTAAGGCTTTTCTGATGGTCAGGCTATGGAATCCATGACACTGATACCTATAGCAGCAAAGTCGCTGATTTTCCGAAACGGGATCATCCCTTGGTTATCCATCCAATGGACTTTGGGAAATGGGTCTTCTTTGAGGAGTATAGAAGAAGAAAGATCTACGTTTCTCAGATTGGTAGAGAATTTGATGATCAACCTCATTCCTTCTCTCGATCATCCCTCAGTCGATCACATCCTTTTAGACAAGGAGAAGATCAATCAAGAGGATGTTCAGGACGGTGCGACAAAGTCCAATGAGGAGAAGGAAAGATTCAAGAAAGGGGATAAGGATAATTGGTTGGTATATGTGGAATCTTTCTTGTTGCAAGCTATGAACGAAGCCAGTGAGTCTTCCTTTTTTTGACTGCATCTTCCTCTTCCTCATTCTTCTCACTTTCGACTCTATTCTTCTTGTACACTCTGCTTGCTTTCTTCATTTGCTCCAAGCCTTCTATTCTAGCTTGTCTGAACTGATTTCTTTCCCTTGCTTGTCTTGCCTATCTTCAGTAGTCTCTTTCCTCTGGATGTGGACTTCTTTCGCACCACTCCACTTGTTGTTTCTCATCCCCCTCAAATCTCAGACTGTGCTAACGGCAGATCCTGACCGAATCAACATCATCTCCCGCATACTATTCCGTCTCAGTCAAATACGTCCAATCTCGAAACGTCTCCTCAAACCTTTGATCAACAAAACGGACAATATCCAATTACCCGTGGAATCCATCGAACTTCTCTTCCGTGCCGGATTGACTCTATCCCCCTCCGATGTCAAAGATATACAAAATGAGTTAGACAAGTTGCGTTGGAAAGTACAACAGCTCGATACTCCTCTAGGTGATTGGGTCCGTAATAGAATCAGAGAACAAGAATGGGGAAAGATCATTTATAATGAGTAGAAAGTACTATACTGTAATTTTATTCATTCTGCATTTTTTAGGTTCATATTTTCTCCACATGCCACAGTTTACCTGAAAGAGCAGTGTTATATCCTTCCCTCTTCTTTGCTGCGTTCTTCCTCCCTTCCTCCCTCGATTCAGTTTATTCTATCAACCTACCGATATCTACCACTCCCCTCATCTTTCTCTTCCATGACTCCTACTCATGACATCTGACTCATTGCACTTCTGATTTCATCGGCTGAAATGAGCGTGACGTATCATCGATGTATATTCCAACTGATACTAGGATACTCCAAGCCATTATTCGAGTCTCAAGATTTTTACTCCACTTTAGGTTTCACCATATCACCCGCAATACTAGCTCTTGATTTTCTCAAGGTCGGATTTGAACTCGTAGGAGTAGCAGCTGATCCCGACCCCCTCTTACCCCTGATTGTAGGGAGCACCAAAGGACTCGAATCTCCCACTATTGTCGCTCGTCTACGTTTCGGTTGTGGTGCGTCGGACGGAGCTGCAACTGCGCATCTCACCAATGAACTTTTTTGTGAACATGATTGGTTGCTTGTCAAGTCAGGAACGGATTTAGAGCTACTTGACGAGGCGAGAGATGATTGAGAAGAGTTCATAGATGTTGTTTGGGGATCGTCGGCTGCGAATACGGGACCGAAAGAGTCGGAAGCGGAATGAGGAAAGGTGACTCCTGCCATGACTGCGAACTGGGTTGTCAGCGTTGAGCTAACAACTCCACAGGGCTACACAACGGCGATGACAGTAGATGATATGTTCCTCTAAGTGAATCGCTGATGCGTATGGGGAAGAGACTTGTGCAGTACAAGGAAAAAGCCAATAGCAAGGAACGGAGAAAAGACATAGAAAACGTGAGGAAGATAACGAAAAATTATTATGAAGAGGATGGATGGATGAAGAATAGGATGAAAAATGGAAAAAGATGACTTACGATAGAGAACAAATCATCTCTCAAAATAGTCAAGACAGTTGATCCCTCTTTCACATCCAATTTCTTAGGATAAGTCTTCGCTTCAGCTAAAGGAACCCAAACTCCACACACCCCAGGAGCATAAAACACCCCTCTCGAATCTTTCTGTTGCATGGCTTTGTGACTAGCCCCCGGAGGTCCTATAATCTCTCTATGTTTATTCGAAGGTACCGATAAAGCATTCAAAAAGGCAGTGGCATTGACAAAATCCGTGTCGACTCTTCTTAGAAGTGTTCCTTTCTTTCCCGCTGGGGTTGTGTATTGCTGTGAGTATACAGGTATCTGATTTACCACACAAGCATCTAGACCCGGACAAATACTTCTATAGGCTCCCCCTCGAGCACGAGCAGGAGGATTGGTGAATCCCGAAGCGGCGTTGGGAGGAGTGATTGGCCGATCTGAAGATACCGTGGTAGGTGCTGATAAGTGAGAATCTGTGGATGCCGCCGAGGACGGACGAGGTGAGCCGGAAGAAGGACTGAGGGCGGGAGGAGCAGGTTGGATGGGTCGATTGGTTGTCAAAGTGAGTGATTTCACAGAAGATCCAACGTTGTTAATAGTGGCAGATTTGGGATTATTTGTCTGAGGGGTTTTGTTGGATTTAGGAACTGAATTGTTGAGAGAATTGGCATTGATGATAGTGTCAATCTCTGAGCTCAAGTCACCGTCGAAGAGCGCATTCATCTGGATCGGAGGTGAAATCAGAGCTTTCGGATCCACAGCGTAAAGGGCAGGATGATCCCCGATGAGAGACAACGCCGAAACGCTTTGTAACATGAGTGGAGAGAGTACACCTGGAGTGGTCGGATTCAAAGAATCTGTTGAGTTCCATGACGCCGAGGTCAAATCAGCCCAAGGTGATTCGGCAGCGCTATCGGTAGAAGGTGTTGGTACCGGGGGCGTTGTACAATCTTTGACTTTCTGTCTGAAAGCTTCAAAAAGAGCTTTGGCTTGATCGGCTTTTTCCTTATGCGCCTTCATCGCTGCTTCATAATTCGCATTCGCCTCAGCCCAAGCTTCTTCCAAATCAGCAGTGCCAATGGTCCCTTCCAAGGATACTTCAATGTTCATTTCGTCCAGAGCGAGTAAATCTTGATCATTCATGGGGTTTGGGGAGGGTGGGCGTTTGGAGCGAGATGATTTCTTGCGTATGATCTTCGGGGTAAATTTCGCAGCTAAACTTCCTACACCAATACATCCCCATGTCCCTGTACCAGTCTGCTGTCGGATCTTCCTCGCTCGAGAGGGCGTCTTATCAGACTTTCCTTGTGAAGGCATAAGCTGATCCAACTCTTCTAATGTTATACTCTCCGGTCCGACAAAGATCTCCTCGAAGATCCTAGAACCATTAAGAGACTCCAACTCGGGCAGTTCGGAAGATCCACTGGAGGGGGAACGCGACTCAGTGGAAGCTCGAGACCCATACATCATAGCACTGTTATCGTCCGCAAGGGTAGAAACGGGAGAAGCATAGTCGTATGGTTCAGATTTGACGTCCATAGCTTCTGCTGCTTCCTGTGCCCATGCTGCCGTATGCATTTGTTTATCGTGCTCCGGTGTGATGTCGCCCATGGTTGAGTTGAGTTCGATGTCGGACATGGAATCATCCGCCTTCACAGGCAATTCCCCGTCACTCATCCAACTATCCTCGGGGTCGGTCCCTGTTTCAAACGACTCGTCTGGTAGGTGAAGATGTTCGCATGGGCTGCCTTCGGGTTTGAATTCTGGGAGTTCGATGGGCATTGGCGCAGGGCTTGATGCCACTCTCCATTCGGTCAAAGCGAAGGCTTCTAGCAGGGGGGCTCGTAATTGCCCTCGAGAGAGTGCTTGGGCAGTAGCGGTAGAAGAACTATCGGTTATACTTGATATGTCAGATGGAGGTGATCTAGCGAGGTCGAGGATAGGGTCTGTATGTCGATAATCCGGGGAAGGCATGTTGAACAGGACCCGTAAAGCATCGGTGGCCTCCTTCACTTTCCCCTCATCTTCTTCATTCTCATGCTCCCCATCTGACACAGCAGCGGGTGTCATCACCCAGTCATCTATCCCATCTGCTCTGGTCTCATCCCCCGAGCTCGAGGTTGAGTCGTCATCGTCAAAGCCGCGGTGGGGGTGATCGCGACGAACCATCCAGCTTGTGTTGTCAAGGGAATGAAATGGGAAGGGAGATGAGTGGGGGACGCTGTTGAACGCTGGAAGGATGGGGGTAAGCGATGAGTTGAACATGTCACCGAACGCGGAGCGATTAGATGGTAGGGTACTACAGATGGATAATGGTGGAGGCGCAAGTTTTCGAATTCGCGGTTTAGATGGACCAGGATCGACATCCATATCCGAGTCCGAGCTTTCGCTATCGGATGAGTCGAGAATGTTTCTGCTGGGGGTTTGAAGTTTACGGGGGGCGGGTTGAACGATGGCCGGAGTGGGATCTCTGGAACCACTGGCACTTCTCGAAGTCATATCGCTATCTTCTCCTTGAGTTGTACCAAGGACAAGCCTGATCTTCACCGGCATCGAAGGTTTGACGAATGGTTTGGGCTTCGGTTTGCTCTCCTTCTCGACTTTCTTAGGCTTCAATGAAAGCTTCCGTGGGAGGGACTTTGGGACCTCGAGACCTTCGAATGGATTGCGCCATCTCATACGTCCCGCTGCTTGGCTCAAATACCACACGGTACCCTTTGGTCGACCGGCTCCACTGAAGGCATGAGGATGGAGGGCCGGCTCAAGGGCTGCTTCGCATACTGAGCCTGCCAGCTGATGTTTGGCGAGAAGGGGTTGTCGACTAGGTCCAGACTTTTCACATCGTTTGAGATGTCCTCGAATACTGCTGTTGATGATCGCGCTAGGTTCGACAGCGACGGACGGTGGTCTAAGCCAGCCTTGCTCATAGATGACAGCTGCAATCTCTTCTGCCGACAATGCACGGTTCTCCTATGGCCATCAGCACTGATTCCGATTCTTCATCTAATGACAAAGGTAAAAAGAACTCACATGAAAGGCCAGAGCAGCACAAGAAGCCATCAGGATCTCATCTCCGCCGTCGTCATCCAAAACTCCACACTTCTCCCTCCCACCATACTTCTCCGGAAAGGGACATGGCACCTTCTCCTTCTCCTGAGCTTTACGCAGTCCATGACTCCTCGATTCAATCGTCGTCTTGGATACCTTTGGTGTATCGAGTCTTGTTTCAGAAGGAGTTATAGGCGCTCCTGGACTTCGTGTCGATCGTGGTTTGAGAGAAAGTTTACGCTGGAGGAGGGATGAGGTAGACGATGCGGAAGCCGGGGTGGATGGTGTAAGATTGGTCGGTGGAAGATTGATGAGCTGTGGGTTGTCTATGGGGGCTAGAGGATAATCGAGCGAAGATCTGCAGTGCCTGCTTGGACGTTGAATTGGAGTAGACACGGTGGCTGCCGACTTCTGGCTCGGTGCCATTACTTGTAGAGATCGTTCGGTGACTCCAAGGGGACCAACAAAGGTCTCTTGGTGTCCACGAGATGGAATGTGAGACAATCTGAAAGAAATGACTGCGCCAGTCAGCCATGTATTGACGGGTGGCAAAGGAATCGGGGAGACCGAAGGCCGTAAAGTGAAATCAGGGGAGGGTGGAATGACAGGGTGATGGAGCGCGACGTTTGAGCGAAAGGAATGGGAGTCAAAGGCGTCGCGAAATCACCAGTTTTGTTTATTCCTGTGCTTGGCTAGGCTTCCGAAAGCTAAGAGGAGTCTCTAGAGATCTCGATAGGCTGCTCGGCGGTGACCAGGGAGTGGGAGGAAGGGTTGAAGACTGGGTAGAAGGGCAAGTCTAAAGTCTGATGAGTCGCGTGGTTGTGATGAGGAAGGAATGTTAATCACCAGAAAAAGTTCTCGCCACAGGTCGTCACCAGTCGCCCGTTAGATGGCCAGGTGGTCCAGGTGATCAACCCGAGTGAAGTCTCGATTTCCAACAGGTGAGGGTCCTTTTCACTTCCTGGGCTCCTTCCCTCGATTTCTATATGTTCAGTGACGACTCGTGTGGTTTGTTGTGACGTTGCGTGCCGTGAATATGATCGGCAAGATTGTTGGACCGATGATTGAAGTAACGTTGTAAAGGTATTTGTTAGTTGGTGAGATCGTCGCGTAGCTAGTAGCTTGGTGTGAAGATGAATCAATCGAATGAGGAATGTGATTTGGTCGACCTGGATATATGTTTCTCCTGTGGTGTTTTGTTTTTCTTGTCAAACGTTTCGTGAGTCGTGAGAATCAAAGGTACCGTTAAAGAGGGTATTCCTTATGGTTTCTATGCGTGAGTAAAGTCTAAAGAGGAAAATCTATAACCGAGCCAGAATAGTGAGAAAGGGTGATGATGTGAAGAAGAGAGTGAGAAAGAGAGAAAAAGAGAAGGAGATGATGGTGGACGAGATGACAATGTTCAAAGGGAGGGGGAAGGGGGCGATAAGGGGGAGGGGGAGGGGGGGGGAGAGAGGCCCGTGCATTGTCCAACGCCATTGCTATCGCAGAGATGTAGCAGAGGAACGCGCCCGAATTCTGCATCAAACCAACGCCCAGCGCTACCACCATCGGTAAACTTATGTAATCCGGCCCGAAGTGTCATATAACACTCATGACGAGGGGTGAGGCTTGGGGCGTGGGTCCATTGAGAAATTTCATGCTCCATGACCACCATCAAAGCCATGACTCCCTTTATCCAGTACGACAAACAATACGAGTGGTGAGGCAGAGATGCCGGCCGCCGGGATCAAACGGGAAGGGGAGAGAGGAAGGGCGAGGAAAAGGATGTAAGACAGAAGAATCAAAAGTGGTGGATTGTCAAGTGAGACTGAGACTGACCTGGTTATGTCTATAGATGCCACTGACGACTTAGCCACCAAAATCTTGCTTCTTTTCGGATCGGCGCTGCCAATCCCTTTATGTCCTATTAACTTCTCGTATCACAGTCGCAGACCTAACAGCTTCGAATTTTATTGACGAAAGAGAAGAAAGAAGAAAGAAGAAGTAGAGAGAATAGAAGAGATAGAGATGGAAGAGATAGAAAGAGAGTTGGAGTGAAAAGGTGGAACATGTGGGAAAGGTCGAAAAGGACATCGTCACCTCTTCTTTACCCGAACGGCACTCCAAGCAAGGTGGCCAAGCAGCAAGACTTGTACGTCGTCGTATACATGGACCCAACTCAAAACTTCCCAAAGTGCAAATCCCCTGGACTCACCCTTCCCCCCTTCTTCCCCCCAACCTCAGCTCCTGACCTATGGGATATGGGCTGCGGCACTTGGGACGGTTAGAGAAACCGGTGGAGGGGAATCAGGGATCTCGGAGAATTCCGTCGGAGCCAATCAGGCAGGTAGTGCAGGAAGTAAGTGGCAAAGTGGCAGTGTGGCAGAATGGCACCAAAGGGAAGAAAATTGAATCTTCAAGCGACGCGCGTCATCGAATCATTCCATATAATCCTGTAGCCGGAGAACCGATGAACATTTGTAGTTGCGACTTGTCCCGATGCAGCAAATCTACCGACATCGCCATGTCGCGTCAATATCGACCATGGAAACGATCAGGGTATCGAGTTGCCTCCGGTTCACCCGGCCCCCTATCAAGATATAAGATAGTGGCAGTTAGAAAATTGTCACTCGGTACTTTCACATACATACAACTCTTACAACAAACATACTCGAACACTGATCTCTCACGCACGGTACACCTATTCACAGACACACCCCAAACTGATCGGACATCATTCTCCTGCCATTATCTCTTTTTATCGATGTCCGTTGCCTCATGTAGCCTTCCACACTTCACCAACTATCCGAATGCGATCATGACGACTCATCCCTCGCCCGTATCCTCCATCTTCCCACCTTACGCCAAGCAGTCAATACCTAATAACAACCACTTTGTTCGTCCCGTCCGAGACGTCTCAGTCCGGAGGTACCGGTATCCAAGCGAACGATCCGGAGTGTCCCTGAGACGATCCTAGATCACCCAGCGAGGGAATCTTGACACCATCTAAACATCAGTCCTTGTCTCCGTCGTTCACTCACTTTGACATGACTCATGTTCCGGATGACATTTTAGGCAAACCTTTCGACGACGCCAGTCTTTCCATCAGCGTTCTATCCGTGTTTGGAAAACTGACTAGTAAATCCGCAAATGGGACAAACCCAATCTCCATCTACACCAAGAGGAGGAGGCTAATGTCAACTATTCATCCTCAAGATCTATCCTAGAAAGACGTACGATACCGACTGGTCTTGCTTCCGTACATCTGAACATCAGAACCCAAACATTGCAAGGACTATCCGGAGCCGACCCAAGTCAAAGCCAAGGAAGATGAGCAGAATCAAACAAGTGAAGGATCGGAGAAAAGGGAGAAAGATGAACGCGGACGTACCGACGACAACTCTTGTTCCGACCGAAATTTGCATAACCACATCCATCTCTTGGACAACCTTCCCATCAGCTTTGATTAAAGTCAGATCAGCTGTTCCATGTAACTCCGACTCACGCCAATCACCAGCGGGCAAAGGAGAAGGTGTATTCCATACAGGTAACAAACCCATCTGCCCCACTCCTCCAAAGTGCCGGGTCTCTGGTTCGGGCAGAACATCTTGCTTGTTCATGTAATTCTCGATAGGCCCTGTCAAGCCTGGCGGTGGGATGCGGAGATTCCAAGCTGGGAAAGAGGGTGTCAGAGGAGGTAAGTCCGTTTCCCAGTTGTGTACATTGTCTGACTTGATAGCATTGGGATCCTCTACCGAGCCGAGGGGGGTGAACCACGGAGGAGAAGCGATGAGCTTTCGGACATCGATTATTCTGCGAATATTGATTATCGCTTGTTCTGCATCTTGGATCGAGCTTTTCTCAAGCTTGGCAGAGTCTTGGGGTGCTCCAGTCTTCTCGTTTTTATGGAGATGCACTGACTCTTTGAGGGGACGCACATAGAAAGGTATCATCCTAGCTGATGTTGATTCCCGATTCAGATCATGAGCAGTGAAGACATTCGGAAGCATGCCGTGCTTTGCTTGGTGAGAATAGTACGGCGATGGAACAGGAAGCATCCGACCGCGAGAGGAGCTCATCCGTTCCGAAGTAGCGGGAATGAACCCATGCAAGGAGGAAGTGTACGGCTAACCGTCAGCTGACACACTCACACTAAGAATGAAGACAACTGACCAGAGGTCCCTTCGAGGGTGCCATAGGAGACATCGATCCGCGAACCATGAACGACGCCCAGGATTGAGTGGTGGGTCGGTACGCAGGATGAGACCTGCCAAAGAAGTCTTCGAGATCTTGCTGGTAGTCAGTGAAGGAGAGGAGCTGTCAACGTAACATGAAGGGAGGAACGATCGAAATCAGTGAAAAGATGAGGTGTAGAAAGAGAGTACACTCGCCGGAAGAAATTCAGAGTTCATCGGGGTGGATGAGTACTCTGTCATGTCTTTGGAGGTGTTTGAGCTTATTTAGTAAGTAAGGATAAGATGGATGTTAGCCGATCAGTACAGTAGAAAGATCAGTGGGAGTTTGACAACAAGTGGGTATCCGGATTGGGATTCATCAACTCTGGAAGTCCAACTTATCGGGGAAGTCAGGATGTGACTCGCCTGAGGCACATAGGGAGATGAGAACACGGTCTGGGGAGAAATGAATGAAGTAGGTAGTTAAAGCGTGTGATGAATTAGTGGAAGAAGTAGTGTAAGGATTTTCTCAAGATGTTTAATAATACCAGGACTGAGGTAGAGGAGAGATCAATGAGAAGGTTGTTAGCTACTTACCTGACTCACGTGCCAACACAAGGATGAGGATTGGGGGAGATAGGTGGATTGGACAGTTTTAAGGGGTGAGTGTATGAGGAAATAATGTAGAAGATGAATGAGAAGAGAGAGGGAGGGAAAAGGAAAGATTGACGGCTCATTTGCTGATGAGGTCGGATCAAGTGTTCCGAGCAAGGCCCAGGATTGAGATGTTTAGAACGTGTGTCTCTTTGTGGATGCTCAACCCTCCCTGATTCCTCCTTGGCAACGTGATGAGATTGGCCGACAATGACTTTGGGAAGAAGGGAACTACAGAAAGTTCGAGCACCACACTCACCATGTTGACTCTTTTCAGTAAGTCTTCTTCAGGTGAACAGCCAGAGTATTGTTCATGGTGAGATTGTATACATATCTGATGAAATTGACAAGGATATGTAGGTTTCTTTCTTGCCCACCACATAAATAACCCGTTGACACAAAATTCTGTTATTCCTGATCCCCACACCACCTTTCCATTGGATCTCTGTACCAATTTTGATGTACATATAATCCATCCTTCATCTCCCCCTGGCTTCGGACTCATACTAGTTCGCGGGGACAAGAGCTAGATGTAGTCGTTGTTTGACCTTTCAGCTCCGGTTTATAGGTGGCTTGAACCATCAAATGAACTGTACCTGTGGAGGCAAGACCAAGCTCTACAAACATCTCACCTGTACGGTACGTCATTTCCACGTGTTCAAAGAAGGTTGAGGTGTTCATGAAAGAGAGTTTCCACGGCATACGCCGTGGTGAATCGTGACCTTCACCATACTGAATCGCCTTGCTTTGGGACACAGAGACCAATCTAGGGATTCGTTGCTCCGATAACATTTTACTGGATATTTCTAGTCGTCTCACGAATACGCATGAATTCATGCCATTCTCGGTTGGGATTGGACGATGAACATGTGCCATTTCCACAATGGGACTAAGTGTTGTCTCAGGGTGACTAAGATCCTCAACTAAATCCATTGCCTCAATGGAACCCCAATTGTAAGTTGTACCTGCAAATGGTTCTGGTATCTGATGGTTGAGAGATACCATGGGGAAGCGCTTTTCATATTCAAGACTATAGTGTCCTGTTGCGTCCTCTAGATTGACCCACAGATGGTTTTGTTCCTTTAACCACCTGCGTGTCTCCATGAACCTGTCCGGGAGGCGCAGATGGAAGACTCGGGTTATGTACAACTCGGAGTCTTTCACCTCCAATTTGGTCTGAAACCTTACTTGTCACGACCAGTACTTATAGCGAGATCAACTCTCACTAGCAGAGTTGATATTGAGCCTTTTAGGACGGTTTATGATCGCGGGCTCGCTACCCGGTCATGACAGAACTACACCAAGCCTACTCTGAACCGCCTTACTGATGAACTCCTGGCCGTGTATATCAAAAGAAGAGCCCTCTGTGGAAACAACCCATCTAGGAACAGTTTCAGCAGACTGTCTGTTCAGGATCTCCTGTCCCTGTATACGACGAGACTGAGAGACTGGCAGACGAGGTGCACATTTTGTAGATCTCTGAATATGACTGAGCAGAGTGTGTGAGATAGCTCTTAGAGACTGAGACTGGGACTGCTGCTTATCAGTCATTAAGTTATGTTTGGGAAAGGCTTAGATGAGGATTCCCCACGGTTGAACCATTTCATGTGATCCGTACCCTCTCGAACCTATTTCCGACGTATGAATCCAATGACGCAACTTTCCCTTTGATTGCGTCTCACCTTTCTCTACTTACAAGGTAAGAGACTTCAAGTCAACCATGATGTCATGAGAACAAACTCTTTCTTTCTTATGAGTCAGGACTCTTGGAATGTTTACTGATAATTAGATGATAATACAGAGGGGAAAAAGAGCATGCATCAATTCTACATGTCTCTATACTTATCACATTCCACTCACACGCAGTAAACCAGAGACGATCGAATAGAGTTCAGATGATAAGTTGAACGAAGAAATATTTTCGATGGAAGGGGTAATTATCTAACGGCGGTTCGGCCGTCCTGGCCCGATTCTATCGGCTAACAAGGTCGGGCGGTATGAAAGTTGATGGTTCATGGCTGAGGTAAGGACTAGAATGCCAACTTTTCTGTGTGAAAAGACTGGATGGACATCACACCCTGAAATAACATCAAAGGACTAAAATGACATTACCACTCTTAGGAGATTTTGGTCCCTGCGCAATGAGAATGACACTTTCTAGTATCCCTGTGGGGTTAAAAATATCTTGAAAGGATCAAGTCTCAAAATTCGTGGATAGGGATGAGGAATCATGTAATTTGACTCCTGTCATTCTAGTCCTTTGATATCATTCTAGTCCCTGGTGTGATTCTAGTCTTTTCACCCGGAAAAAGTGTCATTCTAGTCCTCACCTCGTTCATGGCTCATTGGTCTTCCATCAAAGAAGAGGTTTGTGTAAGTCACGATCGGCATTCAGTAGACGACAAGTCTCTCATGATTCATCAGTAGCCGATGTCAACGTTGGAAGACTTAAGAGAAAAACACAACATCGGTCAAATCAAGTAGATGCAGGTGTACATGATGCACGTCGAAGGTCACTTCCTTCTAAATGCTACTCCGCTTTCTTCTTTCCTTTCTTGTCGTCTTCCCCCAACATGACCCACAACCCGCAGAACAGGAGGAAGGCGAAACTGATGGAGATTGGTGCTGTGTAGAAGGGCCATGCTCCTACGATGAATCGTGGGTGTTCGTCATGTCGAAGAGGAACGACAGAGGCCATTGATGTGGTGACAATGCAGCTCAGGCTGAACATGAGCACGTATCCTGTGACTCTATCGTTCGCGATCGGCATTCATCGGCTGTCCGAAGCGGGGCCGAAGAATGGAGTTCTCTTTCATATTTACAGGGAGAAGAAGTGCAGTAAAAGAAGACAAACGAAGGACTCACCCTGGCCGGAAATACTCCACCATGAATTTGAATACACCATGTCTGTCAGGAGCTTTGAACTTCGCGGTGTACGTCGTTCCCATCTCAGGAGTGACCGATGTATCTTCGATCAACGCAGTACGAATGTGAGGGTCGAGCATCGTAAACTCCAATTGTAGGTCTTCTAGATGTACCGGTCCCCAGGCAGCCGTTTGGTTGTCTGTCGTGTAGTACTCTGCAAGAGTTACGGAATATACCTATGACTATCAGCCACGACTTCAAAGGAAAAGAAAGCTAGTGCCCACCAGATCGTCCTTCTTGGTGTATTGCTCTCTGGGTTGATTTTCTGATTGCCGATGATGAGCTGTTGAGATAACCTTGACGACTCCTCTTTCTTGGAAGATCCATTTGGTGAAGTCCTCTGCAAAGGCAGCGTTTCCAGTCTCAACCCTGAAGAGTCAATAACGTCACCGTTGATGTGCAGGATAGACCGAGGCGAGAATAAAGAGCGGGCAAGGGTAGAAAGACATGACGAGACTGACAATTGACCAGTGATAGATTCAACAGATGTCCCCCAGTACTTGTCGGAGAACATTTGACCACTTCCCACAAAGCCAATCCTCACATTATCCCTCGTTTGTAGAGCACTGACCAGCATAGCTCTTTTCCCACTAAACAGCGGTCCTTTACTAGTCTTACCCCCTAACGTATCCTCCACAGCACTTTCATCCGCATCAAGGTTTTGTTCTTCTCCCACATAGGCAGTCTTAGTTGCGTGCAGGACATCGATCAAAAAAGGGTTTAGTCCTGCAGTATGTACCGTACCCGAGGGGTAGACGATAGGTCCACCTGACAGAGTTGTTTCTGCTAGTATAGGAGTGGGGACAAGGCAGGTGTTTGGTGGGAGTACTACTATGGATTCTGGCTGAGAAGGTGGATGAGAAAAAGCATCGAGAAGGACAGAGTTAGGTTCGATGAATTCGAGATCGTATTCCCTCATCGTCTCCCTCGTGCGGTCAGAAAGAAAAGGGGAAAGGAGGTACAGAGTGTTGAGGTGGGTGTATTGAGCTTCGATAATAGTTTTGGGTGATAATGATGGAGAGAAACCTGCAAATCAGTGAGCTGATATGAAAAGGTGAGAGGGAATATACTTTTGGCAGAAGGGGCGAACATGATCAAGTGGTCATACTGGGGTTCACCAAACTTGACCAGCTCGACGCTATCGTCATTGGGTTTTTTGAAGGTCAAGTCGAAACCTCGGTCTAAGCCATCAGCTACCGTTAAGGATATGCGAAACGAAAAGTTGACAGACCTGTGAGAGAAGCCCAGAACTTTGAATAGTCCCCCTTGTCTGAGTGAGGTTCAAGGACGACCAATACCCGATCACCAGTTGCTGAGCGAGCCAAGACGTCCCCCAAGAGACAGAAGGCTACCAAGGGTAGCCCCAGTACGGATCTAAGCATGATGACGGCTGCTGGAGAGCCTTTTCGATAGAGGGCAAGTGGGTTGAGACGAAGCTGGCTAGGTGGTGAAATGTCAACGATCGAGGAATGTACAGCAGGGAGCGTCACGATGCCACGTGGACTGCGGACTCTCAAACGCCACACGCCACAATGATATCAATGCCGATAACCCCGAATCCTCCACCTGGGGCGTCCGCCCAAATTTCTGCCTGCACAACGATCCTATTTGTCTTGTTTCACTCAATCCGGCCCCCTAATCACCTCATCACCCCACCATCCACCCATTCACCCTACTTGTTAAAAGGGATTGCGAGACTGGTCCGTCACGTCTCTCATTCAGAGTTGAGCCCATCGTCACTCGCTCGCCTCATCATCCCTGGCTTGGTCCTCGAGACACACCCCTTCCCTTCCCACCTTCTTCTCGTCTCCTCCACAACGTTCATAACGTCGTCATGTCAACAGCCAATCCACAATCTACTCCTTACCTCCTTTTGTTCGCTCGTGGAGTCATAGCTCTACTCGATCTCTGGCCAGCTCTCACCATTGCCGTTCGTGAAGAATGGGGCGGTCCTCAATCCGCAGACAAGAAAACGTGGCTCGCATCTACCATCATAGATCTCTTCGAAGCCCTGCCGTCTCCTTCTATCATCAAACTAACCCCTACCAATGGATCTACTTCATCTGTTATTCCTTCCATCCCCAATGTCGACTTTGACGATCTTGCCGATCTCATCAGCCAAGTCATGTCCGACGAATTCGAAGCTAATATCGAAGACAATTCTGTTGACATAGTTGCCAACGATATCATTCGCTTATGGAAAGATATCAACACTTCGCCCGCTCCTCATATCCTTGTTGCCGCACTGGAGAAACGGGCCGGGGAGTTGCAGAAAATTGGAATTACTGTGCAAAAAGGTGCGGATGTCGTGGACGTGGATGGGTCTTCCAATGGGTCAGATGAAGGGGAGGATGAGGCGATGGAGCTGGATGATGATGAAGAAGCACCGCAACTCGTATTTTCTGATCCTGCCGGTCAGGAGCGACCAGAACCTCAGGTGGACGAGGACGGTTTTACGCTCGTACAGAAAGCTCGTCGACGATGAGTAGATAATAATTCCCCGTCACATTCATGTCTTTCTCTTTTCCCAGCATCAATTTTTTCATCTGAAATACTCATGGATCCATGTAAGTTTTGTGGCTTCTCATTGACCGACTCTCCCCCATCCTCAAATCATCCAATTCGGAGAAGCTGGTCGTTGACGGACAGATGCATCTCTTTATCTTCTCACCTACGTTGTCTCACTTTACAACACTAGATGATCATCAATGCTCGACACCTCGTTGCTGATGAAGACCGTATGTTGATCAGGGGATTGCCGAGACTGGATCGTATCGCGACATGCAGGCGCTTGCCAATCCACTTGACGACCCCTGGCCTGATCGTCCGACGTCATCACTGCCTTTTCCAAACACCGCATGGGCCGTGGCCGAGACGAACAGCCGCCTGCCATGAATTCCTTCGTAACACCACTTCTCCAACCGATCCGGCGTTGTATGGTTATATCTGCGCTCCCACAAGCCCGAACAACGCACATATCCTGCAACGCTTTCTTCTCACCCATGCCATTCTAGACCAGCTCCTATCTCCCATGGGTTCTCCCCTCTACCTAACGCACGTGGTGCGAGCGGCGAGGCGAGAAGCCCATGAGGGTTCAGGGAGCTGTATCCTGATGGCTCGTCCTCTCCATGTTTCCGTTCCTACTGCACAACCCGCTTTCTGCGAGCTCTTCGGCACAGAGGGCGAGTAATACAACCCTAGCGATACGTCGCTATCGTCAGCTCCTAGATCTCACGACTTCTCCCCTCTACCAATCCTCCACGGGAAGCCAGACGAGGAGAAAAGCTCGTGGGTGTCTGGGGAGCTGTCATGAACCTAGCATAGTATCCCTTCTTCTCAGTCGCATCACCAAAGGGACAGGTTTGATATTAGCTTCGGTCTATAATTGTACGACATGCTCGAGATATGAATTTCCTTTGCTGTCCATTGGACTCCTTTGGTGTCACGTTTCTTTGGTCAGCATCTCCGTGTCCCTCGCTAACTCCACTTCTTTCCCAACCCCTACATCCTCACAGCTAGCCGCATCTCTCTATTACGACAAGCTCCACCCTACACAGCACAGTCTCGGAACATACCACCAGCTCCCATAGCTAGTCGTGTAGAGTAGTGCCACCGGGACGACTAACCGAAGTGGGGACCCCGCACTGACCTCTGAGACTCCGCAACACCCCCAGATTCCACACCTGACTCTTTGTCTTCCTAATCTACTCTGCATACTGTAAGACTTACGACCACTCTCATTCCTCTTCCTATCATCTCAATGATACCTAGAAGTCTTTAGCCTCTACCAATTGCGTATCTTCATAGAATATGCCCACCGCGGAAGAAGCCTCCGACCCGACTGCCCGACCCGCTCGGACCTCTTGGGCTCGGCGACTTTCCCACCCCACCTTACCTACTTTCCCTCATAACATACCCAACCTCCGTGCTGCTCTATTGGGGTATATTAGTGAAGTTGAGGATGCTATTCGGGAACGACTGAGTTCTGTCTCTGCTCCCGACCAGCCGGTGGACTCTTCCGGTACTTCAAGTAAACTGCAGGTCATCTCCGATACTTCTTCCGACGATGAAAACATGGGATCGTCCTCAATAAGTGATCAAACATTCGTCACATCGCCAAATACATCTCCTCGACGAAATGCGAATACTCCCCCGCCTGAAACTTTGGAACCGACCAATGATCTCACTCTACTTCGACAACTCAACACTTTAAGAGAAGATGTACTGGCTTATCTACCTAATCGTCTACCCGCATGGTCCTTGAACCAGGATTGGCTCGCTTCTCTTCCTTCGCGATTGAGAGTCGTTGATGCTGTAGTATCTGTACCTGGAGGTAATACAGAAGGGGTGAAAGGAAAGAATAAAGAAGAGGGAAACGAAGGAAATGGAGCTCTTGATGCCGCCCGAGGAAAAGTATTGGAATTAGTACAATCTTTCCTTCCTGCAGAAGATTGGGCGGGATGGCATCGACTCGGTTGGTCAGAAGGAGGTTATCCACCTCCTTCCTCTCCATTTCACGATGATGCAATGGAGGATGAGGAAGATGAACCTGAATATCTATTCCCAAATAGGACGCCTGCCAGTGCTCAGGCTGTCGCCAGAAGACGAATTGTAAGGTCAAAATCATTAGGAGCATCAAGTGTGGGATGGAGGAATGATTTACCCATCTTGACGAGGTCGAAAACTACCCCAAACGTTCTTACAAATGACAGTGATGAGACCGATCTCACTCTGAGTCCTGCGACGGAGGCTATCGGGGTGGAACCGGAGGATATGAAGAGGATTTCAGATATGGGAATGGGACCTACGGTCGCGGAAGCTTTAGAGAAGGCGGATGATGGAAGACGATTGATAGGTTATGAAGATTTACCTTTCGTATGGAGAAACAATGAACATATCATTACTGGCTAGTGAGTCTTTTCTTTCTTTCCTTCTTTTTTTCACTAGGCAAATACACCTCATTCTAGGTCTGATGTTCTTCGTGCTCAGCTGCTGGGCCCCTTCGACACTCAGCTGAAACAAAATTAGTCGATTCATTCCTATGCACGCGAACACAGGTCCGATACCACTCATCAAAAGCGCTTTTGGGTGGCATAACGAAACTGGTCAGTCCATCATATCTCTCTGAGGTCAAAGCTGAAATATATAGTCAACATACAATCTCACTTCGTACCAACCATAATACTTTTGCTACTGATTCCCGTAAGCTCCCCGTCTCTCTTGAAGTGGAAAGCTGAGGAGGGCAGATAATGGTGATTCACTCCCCTCTCCCAGATGCTCATTGGCTCGATACGGCCATTTTGGCTATGTATTTTCTGGCTGCCGTAGCTTGTTTGTCTTCATCGGCTTCATGGCATGTACTCAGTGGGTCAGCTTCGAGAGGATGGTTCGAATGGGGTGCTTGTGTTGATTGTATGTTTTTGTTGTTTTACTTTTCCTTACACCTTCAATTTCATCTCCTCATGCCCTCTAAATATATTCTCCTTCACAGCACTCGCTGCTCTGATTTGGACATGAGGGTAACCTTAAAAAGTAGGATCGATGGCATTGTTGATATCTCTCTAATCATGTGTACAATGGAAGTAAAAGTGATCTTGCTGACAAGACAGATATTGGTATCTCATGTAAGTCAAGTCTTCCTTTACGCGACTAAACTGACCAATAAGGGCTCATATCCGCCTCATTCTTCACAGTGGTATATAATGGATTTTACTGTCATCCCACGGCTGTCTTCACTTGGGGATCTATAAATCTCTTCTGCGGGGCTTTAGGCTCGTATTTACCTTTTCAGAAATGGTTCAATGAGCGGAAACACAAGGTGAGTACTTGTTGACCCCTCTCATCAGATCACTTCATCTGCATTTACCATCTCTTGCTCAAATTGCTGAAGGAGTGGATGGTTTCAGAGACACTTTAGGTTGATGAGACGAGTGGAAGATTAGATGTTGTCCAGTTTCTGTGAGAAGGGTGCGAAACCTGATCTAAATGAGAAAGCAGAGAGCGGGAAGGGGAATCGACAAGAGGATATGAAAAGGAATGTTAATGAATAGGATTGGAGAATATCATTCTTCCTCTTTCTTTGCTTTGCAATGTTCGCACCTATGGTACAGATGTTTTACCAACATGGTTGGACCAGAGGACTCCATTTTGTCTGTACGTCGGATTTTCCTTTTTCTCCTCATACCGATCTTCTCAGAAATTGTATTCGGTACTGTGTGGCTTTCTGTCTGCTTGATCACAGAACCTCATCCCTCGGGACCAATCTCCATCTCCGCGGTATCCCCAATACGAAGCTTGATCACTCATCCTCCCTCTTTACATTCCCAAAACCATTTCATTGTCATTGTGGTCTCAGAGACGACGATCACATATCTGCTTAATCGTCACAGTTTTTGATGAACTGCGAAATTACAAAGCTCGATACTCATGACCAGCTCCATTTGGCCTTTCCGTGACTGCTTATGTCGTCGGATTGTTATTCTACGGATTTCATTTTCCTGAATGCATCTTGCCTGGTAAGTTCGATTACATCGGAGCCAGTCATCAAGTAAGTTGTCCATTCATTCAGCTCGTCCCCTTTCATGCCTGTGATCTCTTCCTTCCTACTCCAGCCATACAGAAATATGCTTGACTAATGTCCTTCCTTGCGTCACTTGCCATCATCAGCCAGTGAAAAAGGGAAGTTGAAAAGACAATCGAAGCTGACATGTCAGATATGGCATTGTGCAATCATACTAGCTATCTTGTTACACTACCGAGCAGTCTTGGTAGCTCATTCAGTCCGATACGCATATTCATGTGCCTCACCAGCAGTAGGTCGATCAGTTGGAGAAGTGGTGGAAAGGTGGTGTGGGATTTTGATGGAATCTCTGAAAGGTTTGATATGGTAGTTTAACGTTCGGCCGGGCGAAGGAGTTTATCATAATGCATTGCATAGTTTGCATCTTTCATCTTTCTACCCACTTTCGAGTATTCACACTCATCTGGAGCAGATCACAAAAGGCTTGATATGATTGTGACATGTCGACACAACGTATGGGCTCAGGGCACTATCTATGGATGTGCCAAGTGGAGGATAATTACAACCATGGTTTCAGGTGCACTGAGAGGGTGTCGAAGAAGAGCATTTAATCACTGTGAAAGATGACTAGAGATAGGATTGATATTTGAGGAAAGGGGGTAGACGAGGGATCAGAGAAAACCTCTTCCAGTACCTTTCGGAAAGACCTTGACACCATTGGCTTCGAGTCGATATTGTAACGGTGCATTCCGGGGTATTTGGGAACACCAAGTTTCGTCCAAACCATGGGATGAGATCTGGTATGAGCTTCTGTCTGATCTTGCGTAATCTTAGTATTCCCAACTAAACCACGATCATAGATGTGGGTCTCGCGATTTGAATAATAGAATGAAATGTACGAACACGAACGTTACAGGGGTGAAGCGATCACGAAGAGTCAACCGCACTAATCTCGGTGTGCCTCTTCATACTTAGAAAGAACCAACACGCAGATTTATAGCTAAGGATCAAGTGACAGGAAGAAAGGTGAAAGACTTACTTCTCCATGTACATCACCCGATCGACCAGATGGAAGATGTGAGATTCTCCACCAACCACCTGAAAGCCTGAGTAGACGTTCTACCATCTCTGTCTGTTTGGAGTATTGTGGTATATGTGAAGTAGGAAGTAAAGGTAGACAATCGGCGTGAAGAGTTGAAATAAGACGTGCTGAGTGCTTTAAGGTGTCAATTCTTTGCTATTGTTCACCTTCCCTCCCCTCCCTCCCCAACTCACACACACACTGTATTTTCTATCTATGCGGCGCATCAGGAGTCTTGGAGTGTCAAATGTGTGAAGAAATACTTGTACATATAGTAAGTTGTCAGATCAAGTGGCGGTGGAAGTGGTGGTGGTGGTTGAGAGTTCTATTGAGATACTTACCTTTCTTATCTCAGGTAAAAGAGAACGAACGAATCTACTTATTTCTACAGGTTCGAAACCCATATTCAACAGTTCACCCAGTCCATCAAGAATCACCAAGCTCCCTTGTAAATGTCGTATTATGATCTCGTATGTTTCTTTCAGAGTTGGTTTATTGTCGTCATCGAATAGTCTCGGTTGTGTATCTGAACTGTGGATGGGTATACTGGAAGGGAGAGAAGAGGGGGAGATATAGATGAAATTGGTGGATGAGAAAGGGATCGGTTTGCCCTTTATCTCTTCAGTCCTTCTCTCATGTCTTTTTCCTCATTCTTCCTTGGACGCGTAGATTCCGTGAGAAGGCAAATAGCAGTTCCGAGGATACTTATAGCTTCTGTGAAGAAACCAATTAAAAGGACCTGAAAGCTTTGGGTTTGAGGATTTGGAAAAGGAACGAGTAGGGAAAAGCTTGACTCACAAGCTTCTTCAGAACAGCTTCATGACTCTCCTTTCCCTCTCCTCTAAAGTCCACGAGGACAATACGAATCTTGTTGGTTATAGCAGCGGTGAGTAGGTGATACAGTGCGAATTTAGAGGACGATTGAAGGGTGTCGGTGATGAGTAAATGAGTGCCGGGGGGAGGTAAGGCGTCTCTTTCTGTGAAAGGAAGATGAGGAGTGAGATAGGTCATTGTTGCTTTTTTCAACTCTACTCAATAACTCTTCTTGTTTGAGTCTATCTTCGTCACTGGGTTCTGAGTTGTGCAAGTCCTCGTTTGTCTTATCGTCTTCTTTGGTGGCTCAAAACTATAAAGCAGAGTATAGGAATTGGATAACGCTGCGAAAAGTCGACCAATGTTCGGTGGGGTGTGGGGAAAGATTTGCGGGGCTCCAGAATTTATCTCTTCCGTAAATTGCGTCACCGTGCGCTCCATTCGTGGAATGCACCATTCCTTCTTTCTACCCCAATGTCTCTCAGAACCACCTCTCGTCTCATTCGTATCCCACGACGCACTCTACCTCGATCATCTATACTCTCTAACAGGTGAGTCCATGAGTGACATCTCTTCCCTGAACAACCCTGACCGAGGGGAGAGATCGTCATAATTAAGCAAAACACTGACTTCAAAGACGTTCGATCTATATCGCAACCTCGAAACTCGTCCCTGCTCCTAGGATCAGAATGGGTATGTACATTGCTTCCTTCAATCATTTCCCTTCTCGGACCATCTCTCTCTCTGCACACTGTAGGTACAGTATGCATTCGACGGGAAGATCATAATTCTGATCCTTCAACCCTGACTTCCTCAATCCTTCCATTACTTACGCCCTACCCTTTCTCGAACGACCATGTGATCTTGACTGGGCGTTTGTCATGTCCTGGTTAGATCATCGCATCACACCAAATTAGATTACAGTACATATACTTTGTAATAACACCAAAGGTTGATCTCTGCCATGTCATGATGTTAACACTCAGCTTCCATCATCAACGCTACGGCCCAAGCTGCTCATTCAGCTTTCGCCTCTCTCGCCTCTGCTTCACCTATCAAGCCTGGCGATAGTGTTCCAGATGTCGAAATCAAACTAGGAGATTTGGAAGGAAAGGTAAACTTTTCCAAGTTGAGCGGAAAGAGTGTTTTGGTTCTTGTTCCCGGAGCGTAAGTAGTCTATCGGTCCTGACTTGATGTCAGCTAATATTTGTCTTCTTTCACTCTTTACAACTTTCAACCCTGCATTACCTCGTCCGGCAATACTCCACGTCTACTTCGACGATATGATACCACGTGAACACCGATGTGACATATACGACCTATGGAATACAGCTTCTCCCCCACTTGTACCTCTCAAGTCCCTTCATACATCAAACAATACGAAGCTTTCAAAGCCAAGGGAGTCAAGGACATTTATATCATCGCCATCAACGACATGTTCGTCATTCAAGCATGGGCCGAAAAGCTCAAAGGTGAAGAGAAGAGTGAGACAGTAAAGTTTGGTCAGTCGTTTCCCCCCTCTTCTCACTGAATCAACACCGTTATTTTTCTCCTCATCGCCCATCACACTTCCCCTCAATGCTGCTCGTCATGTAATGCTACCGTTTCACGTGCATGGAAGTTCGAGTCCTATCAGACTCGCCCAGCTGCTATGAATCAAGTACCCGGCTAATTTGCAGCTGGTGACGACACCGGAGCATTCGGTACCGCCTCTGGTCTCGTCTTTGACGCTCAAGCCGTTTTTGGCGGCCCTCGTCTCAAGCGTGGCGCTGTGGTGATTCACGATGGGAAAGTCGTATCCGTCGTCGTCGAGCCCAACCCTGGTGAAGTGACCGTTTCCGACGCCAACGAGGTTCTCAAGAATCTTTAAGTCCAGTGTTCAGTGAGAACAGAAGTAAAAACGCCCAGACGATGGGCGACAAAATGAAAGTACGATTTTGAGAGCGTGATGAGTAACAATACGATTAAAGAGATATGCATGAGATGCGATTTGGCGTTAGTTGAGTACATCAAGTGGGACTACTGTACATGTCAAATTTCCTTTTCACAATCCAAGAACCGCGGGTATTGTGTTCGATTCCTCTGCAGCAAGATCATAACAGACTAAGAGAAGAAGGGGGTTGCGTATCATTCAGGCGCATCGGATAGCTCGGAGGAAATGTCTCGCGTGTGTTTGGATACCCCGGAGGACCTTTTGGGTCTGCTTGGTCTGGACACCGAACCGTTGGAGGGTCCAGAACGCCGTTGCTACATATATAATCGGTGGGGTGTTATATCGAGGAGAGTACCGGTCAAATGTGTAAAAGGGATGATGAGGATTGTATATTCGAAGTGACATCAAGGACACGAACGAAAATTGAGAAAACTTGGTCAGTGAGTTATTGACAAATCCAGAAAGGTAAACTCACCTTTTTGATAGGATTACTGGCTTCTTTCTTTGGCTTATGGGAATTTTCATCTTGATCTTTGGTCTCTACTTCTTTCTCTGGATCCTCATCTACTTCACTCTCTGAATCCATTTTCTTGCTTTTTCGTTTCCTTCTATTCTGCTTAATCTGTTTGCCCCCTTTTTGCACCTCCACGATCTCATCTGTGACCCCACCCTGACTTTTCCGTCCAGATCTACCCCTCGGCTTGACCTCAGTGTCCGAAACCTCCCCCTCACTCGAATCGCCTTCAACCTTGCGTTTACCCTTACTGATCTTAGGTTTGATATCTACCCCGTCTGGCATCTTTTGGAGTTCTTTGACTAAAGCAGTGGTACGACCACCTACCTCAATGAACTCTATCGTTGCTGGCTTACCATTTGGCTAGTACGTCAATTCTTGTTCTCGTCATTCTCTTTAGCCCGGTCATTCTCATATACTTCCAGCAAATTTTGTCCAGAATCCTCTCTTCGGCATATATTACTTCAAGGTCATTGGATGAGTGATGTTGACTGCCCAAGTCTTTTGGTGGAAGACAGGTTTATCTAACTACAGCGAAGGATTTCGTCGTCACTCGAAGTCTCCAAAAAAGGGGAGGAGTTGGTTTCGGATATAAGGTGATGTGTGGACAAGGAAAGATTAGAGACAACCCACCAAAGCTAAAAACTCTACATCTTTCGGTTTGACATCTTCCGTTCCTGGTGGTTGACCACCTTCAACACTCTCTTCCTTGACTTTCCTTCCTTTGGCAACTTTGACCTTTTTGCCCTTACCCCATCTCCATCGGAAGAGCCAATTGTCTGGAAATTGTAGAGAATCCGCATTGACCTCTACGGCCATGAGGGGGACTTTTCGGATCCATTGGTGCAGATTTTCAACGTCTTTCTCTGAGAGATGAGGGATGGGACAGGAGGGGTGAATATGAGCTTGATACAGGATCCTGGACTGTCAGAGAAATACGAACAGTTTTGAAGGAAGGACTCACTCGTCTGCTACCCACTATACATCAGCCTTTGTTGTCCACAGTGCGAGTGATGACAACAAGTAGAGGTAAAACGTGGTCCTCCATGATCAACAACTGGAGTGATTGCGACATCATTTAAGAGAAGAGGTGGGATGTGGGGAAGGAGAAGTAGAGTAGAGAAACAAAAGGTGAGGGATTATTATGATGACTCACATTTCCCACTCCGGCACTAAACGCTTGATCCATTATGACACCTTTTACAGTCCCTTTTTTCTTCAATAACAACTTTTGGAACTCTTCCAATGATGGCATAGACAACACCGGATCGAACCCTAAAAGAGATACAGGCGGATGATGGATTACGGGATGAGGGATCAGTCTCAATCTACCTAATCTTCTCCCTATACATCAACTCAGAGGCTCAGTCCATGAGCGAGAAGACGCACCATCGATGAAAGCCAGTTCTCGAGGTTCATCGGATACTGATCCTGCTTGAGGCTCTAAGTCCAATACGCTGAATGTCAGTTTGATGATTACGATTTGCAGCAAGCTCACAATTTGTAAAACTGGGGTCAGCACTTTACCTTTTTGATAAATTGATTTAAAAGGGAAGGACTGAAGAAGATAGGACGTCGGGATGATATATAGTTTAGATCTCACTCTTGGGGGCCAAGTAGTCGGGGATTCTTTACGTCTACGACGATACCAATTGGGTTCTTGTCCTTTAAGCTGCTTGTCAGCTTTATTCGCCTGATCGGAAAATTCAACATACTTGAATCATTCCGGTCATTCCGAAATGCATCACTGGGAATCTTCCCTTTCCAGACAGAGTCAACCAGAAGCTATCTTCATCAGCAGATTCTCATGTGTTTTCTGTAGGGAGGAGAACGCACGTCTTTCCTTTGCGCTCGCAACCTGTGATGGTACGTCCGGTGATTTCTCTTGCCTATCATATCAGCCTCATACTTCAACGTGGCATGAACACTCCAGAGGCGAGGAGGATGTAAAAGGAGTAAGAGGTCACGTACAAACTCATCATGTGTAGTACCACCCGTATACACGATCTTGTCCTCTAGACTATCGACATGTTTAATCTTGTACCCACGGCACGTATCGTATATAAGCTTTCGAGCACGTTCTACCTCTATACATTCAGCTTAGGTAGCACCACCTCGGGGAATCATAGCTGACCTGGTAGTTCTGGCATTATATGTCGTGGATCGTAATGTCAGGAATCCATCTCGATGTTCAAGATCTCCTAGTTCCGATGACAACCTCTAACGGAGATTGAAAGTAACTCCGCTCCGGGTGGCCACTCCGCCGGCAACGGCAACTTTGTTCGTTTTCAGGCACCACTCAAGCTTACTGCCATGTTCCAATCCCATTCAAATCGACCCACATCTAACTCAGTCATCATCTCTTCTCCTGTATACAATCTGAACAATACTATATCAAGATGTTGAGCTCACCAAATCGTCTCTTCCTTCTACTCTCTCTTATCGTTGTGTACTGTACCCGACAATACCCCGATCGAGTGGCAAACATCAGCACATTCCTCCGTCCAGAAAGTCTGGATATTGGCCACTTACATCATCTCTTCATTCAGGCTGCTCAACTCTACCTCGTCTACTCCATCTTCCTCATTTTACATTCTACCCTACTCCAACTTCGAGCTGAAGGGATATTGACCTCTTTCTGCTCGATCTACGGACATTACAAGGCGGTGAGTTTCACCCCTCTCCTGCACCAAGGGGGAAAACGAGCTGATTGGGTAGTATGCAATCCGTCTTTTCCTCCGCTTACCGGCGGTCCGACGTAAAGTCGATCTTGAACTTGCTGAGGTAAAATCTCAGCTCCTCGTCAAGTGGGGTATAAAGCAAGATGCAGGAGATGTGAAGCACGCATCCGTGGGCCAATTGCCAGAACATGGAAGAAGTAGACAATGGTTGGAAGAGGAATGGACATCTCTCAAACGACTTCAAGGAGAGCATGCGACAGATGGAAGGATCAGTGGGACCGTTTACCATGTGATTACCTCCTTCCCCATCTGGTGTGGCTGGAGAGAGGGCTGATCGATATAGGGGGGAGAGGAATTGAATAGGATCATCATCGATGCCATGTCAGAGTTCTTACTTGCCAATCCTCTTCATACCGATATCTTCCTCGGCGTGAGGAAGATGGAAGCGGAGATTATCAGCATGTGTCTTCATTTGTAAGTCATCGTTCAGCGTTTCAGTCCAACAAGCATCGACGCTGAACAGAATAGGTTCAATGGCCCAAATGGAGCAGGTACAAGTAAGTCTTTCAAGACTTAAGACGGGTCAATGTTGAGACATAGCGACTTCAGGAGGAACAGAATCTATCCTCATGTCTATAAAGACTCATCGTGATTGGGCACGTCAAACAAAGGGCGTTACCAAGCCAGAAATGTCAGTCATCGGTCGTCTTTCTTTTCCAATGAGGGACCTGATGAATCAGGGTTATTCCGTCGTCTGCTCATGCAGCTTTCTGGAAAGGTGCAGAATATTTCGGCGTCAAGCTTCATGTCATTCCTGTCAATCCCACAACCAGGCAAGCGGACGTCAGACGTATGAGACGGGCGATGTTCGTCATTTCTTCTCTATATGGTGGTGTAGACTGATGGCAGAAATGGGAACACTATCATGATAGTTGGCTCTGCACCAAATTTTCCTGATGGAATTATAGTATGTCTATGTAATCCGGCCTCTCACTCCTCTTCTAGCATTATCCGTACCCTCTCTCGCAGGTGCTTACCTTCTACTATGATTCCCCTACCCTAATACATGCCTGACCGGTCTGAACACGAATCACTGACGGTCAGGATCCAATTCCGGAACTCGCAGCTTTGGCCGAGAGAAGAGGAATAGGTTTACACGTCGATTGCTGTCTTGGATCGTTCTTAATGCCATTCCTCGGTCGTGCAGGCTTGGACGATGGCGTGCCGTCTTTTGACTTTAAGCTCCCCGGTGTGACTGCAATTAGTTGTGACATTGTGAGTGTTTCGAGTAGTTCCCGCTCTTTCCTTCAGATTCTGAGAGAACTATCTGCCCATAATATATTAGGGTTGGAGTCGATTCAGCGGGAAACGCTTCAGATGCCGAGTTGAGACTTGTTGACGTACAGCACAAATATGCGTTCTGCCCAAAAGGTTCTTCCGTGATCATGTACCGCTCCAAGGAATTGAGAAGATACCAATACTACGTCATCACTGATTGGGCTGGGGGAGTGTATGCAAGTCCTTCTTTGGCGGGGTCAAGGTGAGTCGGACTTAGCCTACTGCCTGAAACATCATCTCATCAGCACGTAATCCTGTGTGCAGTCATCTTTGAACCATGACGGGGGGTAGTAAAGGCAAGGATACGTCAATCGATGGTTGCTGATTTGCCAGACCAGGTGCAATCCTCGCTGGAGCTTGGGCGGTGTTGAACCATATTGGGGTGGAGTGAGTCATTCGACTTTTTTGTCCTTATCATCCACTACCCTATCTCATCATAATTATCTCTTCGTCTCACACCACATTCTCCTCATTTTCCACCATTTAACGCTTCACCTGCCCAAAGGAGTTTCTCTAGACAAAGGGCTCAAACCCATCATCCGTAGTCATCGTTTGGAGTATGGGCCTTCGTTAACTCTCAGTGGATACACTGCATCATGTAGAGAAATAGTCACTGCCGCTCGAACCTTTGCCGAAGTTCTTCATGCTGAATTCCCCGATCTGTACATTCTTGGAGAGCCGAAATTGGCAATTGTAGCATTTGGCGCCAGGTCCAAATCTCTAGATATCTATGCGGTAGGGGACGCGTTGAGTAAAAAAGGATGGCATTTAAACGCTTTGGCTAATCCTCCCGCTTTACATATGGCTTTCACTGTGAGTCTTTCAAGATAACTCAATCCCCATAACCTTTCAGATTTATCGAATCCCTGACTTCCTTCTTCTTGTAGTACCGTCTTCCCATTTTACTAGGGAAGATCATCTGAGTGTTCTGTCTATCGTTTCCAATACTACCTATCACAAAACCACCTCTGTAAGGATACGATATTTCAGTAAGGGTGACTGGATATATTCAGGAAGATAAGTTGACTTTTTCAGCATGCAAACGCCAATTCAGTGTCCAAACTCACTGAAGAACTACAAACTGCTATCTCATCAGTCAAAGCTTCTCCGCCAAAAGATGGAGATTTGGTCGCATTATACGGATTGGGTCAAACTTCCGTAGGACCCCATGTAGTAAGTCGACTAGCAGAGTTGTATTTGGATACGATGTACGAATAATTCATACGTATCTCACCCCAAGGGGACATTGTTCAGGGATTATAGGGACTGTGACAAATATCTGGTTTGAGAATCAATGCGTATCATCAGTGTGAGACATAGACATCTCGGGCGATTGACGTTGAGTAAATATGTATGCATTTTTTCTGACCAAATCCCTGGATATAACAAGACCGGAAGATATACACATATGAGATTAAATATACAATTGAAGTTATGGATGAAATATAAGTTTAGATGGTTTTCGATTTCGTTGCGCATACACGAGGTGGGAGAGGACCGACATCTGTCCTAGCGTAGATATGTCTGATACGTTCAAATTCCACTGAACATCAGTTGGATACGACAAGTAATTTGATGCATCTCTGGTCTTGGGTGATCTACCCAAAAGAGTAAAGATTGATCATTTGATTAATGTGAAGATGAATATGGATATGGATATGATGGATATGGATATGGATATGGACATGACAGAATCGAAGTGGACCGAAGGAAAATAGTGAATGGTGAGGTACGGTGAATTGACACAAATGAAACTCACCACACTCGAAAAACTCTGTGATTCCTGCTACTCCGACTGATAAAACGGTGATGATCCATTTCACCTGGTAAAGTCAACAATGTGATCTCGGATGCAGGAGAAGATTGGTTCCTCAACGAGTAGACACTAGCCAAGTAAAAATGTGATGGGTGAAGGGGAAGGACGAGACCATCCACGTCATGATTAGATAGCAGGAGAAGCATTCGTGTTCGAATAGACGGTGTTATCAAGGAGAGTAAAAAAAGTGCTCACAGTTGCTGATCTAGGTATTCGATGTCTACGACACAGATAACTCATCCATATACTTTCGCCGATATGCTGATAGTCAATTTCTTTGCCGATATTCTCATTCCTCTGCTTTAAAAGACATAAAGACAGGATGACTCCGTTTGTCCACTGGAAGGCAATCGACATTGTGAATGGTCCAAAAACATTCTCAGAAGGTCAGAGATCGTGGCTAAGAGAAGGGACATAGTGGACAGATATAAGACTAACCGTCACGAGAGCAAATACCGCACTAATCTTAACGGCATACTTCCCTAGATACACCTCTATCTTTTCTCTGAACCAATCTGCATGATCTCCTCTTCCTAATAACGCGAAGAATAAAGCTGATAATGCAAGAAGTAATGGAATGAGCCAAGGTAAAGGTGAAGGAAATGAATAATATGTGATAACTGGATTTCTTGGCTGATCATCAGTCCTCATCATCTTTTTGATACCGATGAACAATCAGATAAGAATTTTATCGTTAAACAAGTACGAAGCCGGTAAACAAGTATGACACCGGTGAACAACTGGGAAACCGGTAAAGAAGTATGGCACCGATGGACAAGTATAATACCTATAGACGACTATGGCATCGATAGACCGATATGAGATACTTACAACGTCAAAATGTGAATAAGCTAAATCTCTCCATGCTAACAATCTCGGTCGTACTTCATAAGGCGATTTAACAGGAGGGTCAAATGGTATTTCCAATTTGATCTCTTCATTCGTTGGTGGAGGATGAATGAGGATAGTGATGTTTTTCCCTTCAGGATCGATTGATGATATGTGTAGATGACCTAAATGACCACGACGAGAAGTTCTGTGTTTGACGATTGCTAGGAATATGTTAGTCATTCTTTTGAACTCATGGGCAAAGTAACGTGGCAAGGGGAGAATCTCACCTGTTAAGATATCTGCTTGACCATTGAGGTACGATTGGACGTTGTCCCTGACCATGAGCCTATGAGCTGATAGGGAGCAGAGGAGTTAGCTTACAGTTCTCTCTGACCTGGAGTATCTGTCAGGATGGCCATGGTGCCATGTAATCTACAGTTGCTGCCGTCAATGGGCACGTTACAAGTAAGTTAGTGATCCTGTGAAAGGATCTCATTCCACCGTACCACCCGCCTTTGATGATCGTTAAACGGGGGGAACATATAAGCGTGTGAGCTACCATTCTGATTCCGTCATGGGAGTTCCATCGGAGCCGAACTGGATAATCCCGGCCCACCTTTAATTAATCCCGTTGAAATTTTGCCACTTTCTCCCAAAACCCGTCACTCAACCCGAGGATCTTGTCACTGCCAACCCAAATCTATGCAGTATATAAAACTCCCCTTTTCTAGGTTTTCTTGGTATCAGCAGAATGCCTGGGAGCGTCTGAATCTATTCATGCTACTTTCGGAACGGTTTTCCAAGAATCAAAGTCGCAGAAGGCGATAATGTGCTCGGTCCGAAATTGCGACTTTCGGCTCCTCCCCCTTTCGGACGAATTCGGAAGTTTTCGGGTACTTGTACATGCTATATTCTACATTGTTTGTACTTTGTACCCTATATGTACTCACTACAGACCTCTCACTGCACATGTACTCTGTCATCCAATCATGCTCATCTATGCTTTGGAGGTACACTCACTGCTGAATTTCTTGCTATGTGTTGATGTTGTTTACGCGTCTGATGGTGATGAAGGGTTGATCAAAAATCTACTTTTGGACTGGCTGACGATATTTTTTGCTTCGTCTCCTTCTCTTCTCTGTCCTTCTCTTCTCTCTCCATCTCTTTTCATCTTTACATCTCTTTTCATCTTTACACCTCTTTACGTCTTTACGCCGCCAAAGTTCACCTTACACATCAGTTGAGCTCATTGCTATCATTAGCCTGTTCACTACTCCTGCTATCTAACACCAATTCTCTCTCACAATCTCTTCCTCACCATTCGAATCTTTCCTTTCCCTCTTTTCTCCTCGGTCTCAAAATCCCCTGACAAGATGGGCAACGAATACAACCCCAAGTCCGATAAATCAACCGTTACTCCTCCGAAGGGTGAGAAACTGCACCCGGATCAACTTCATTTCCAGAAATTTGTTCAGCCACAGCACCCGATATGGAAGAATGACAAGTCGCTGCAAGCATTCCAGGCTCAGCTTGGATTCTATCTTCAGCCCTGGTGGCACTCCCACCCCAGGCATCTCCCACAAAACGCAGGGAAGCTTGGACTTCGGGAAGCGACTCCCAAGGAGATGAAGGACAATGGCCTTCGGGCCATTGGTAGAGGATCCACGTGCTATTCGGCAGCCGAACCAAAGAAGCCACTATCTTGTCATAGCTCCTTCATTATTCCCGCTTTTACATATACGTGAGTTCTTGATCAGTCTTTATGGCCTCCGAATTCGGAGTATCTCAGAACCCTGGCGCTGATC